CCAACGCTCAGCCCTCCTAGCGAACTTGAGATGGTTATCCTTATCATCCTCAGATTGGTTAACGTGAATGAAGGTTTGCTAACGTGAACAGAGCTGAACTGAAGGAGGGTTTCCTCTATGGCACCTTCTTCCTGCCCACCAGCCCTCCAGGTGCGAGAGGGGAAGGGGCCACTCAGAAACAGGGCTGTGCGGCCGCCGGAGCCGGAGGCATGTGATCAGGGCGGTGAAATCTAAGCTATGGGAACTATGTGAGTGAAACACCCCTGGGCGGGAAGAACCAGCCTGTCCATTGTGCCCTGGCTGGGAGGGGAGGTTCGGCTGAAAGTTTGGACAGTTCTTGGCATGGAGTCTGGAGAGCCCTTTAGAAAGTTGTCCCTCCCAGCTGGCCCACGAGAGAGGGCCGGTCGGGGGCCAGCATCCTGCTGGACACGATAAAGAGGTTACTGTGGGAAGTGTTAGGACTGCTCGGGAAGCACCGAGAACATGAAAGATATGTTACGCGTTCCTCAGGCCCCAGAGAATCGCCACCCAGTGTTAGACTTGGCAGAAGCCTTTCCGCTCCTCCTCTGAGCCGCCTCCTTAGCAAAGACGCACTGTCTGAATGCCCAGTGCCTGCCGGCCGTGGCACGGGCTCCCGGACTCGCTCCCACAGCCCGTAGCACGGGAACACGGAGTCGGGAGGCGGTTCAGGTGTGCCCCTGTGCCGCGAGCCGGTGATCCGGCAGAACCTACCTGTATCCAAGGCGACACATCCGGTCCCTTTTCCCAGGAGGCCTGTTGTGAAACATTCTGGAATGTTTGTGTTCCTTCAGAGATTTGTAATTAAGAAGAGGCAGAACCAGTTCTTGCTCGGTGCCCTTGCCACCCTCCTTCCCTCCCTCCCTCTCGCCCTCTCAGCATTTGGGTCATTTGATTTCACGTTGGGGTTTTCGGCGGCCCAGGGCCCGGAAGCGGGAACCTGGGACTGGACTGGGCCAAACTGGGGTGAATCGCTTCATCGGAGGGCGGGGGCCGGGTGTCCCAGGCAAGCCCCCAAGTCCTGGCCACATCTGAAAGACGGCGTCTCTTCCCAGCTCACATTCTTGGCCCTGGCCCAAGGGGAAACTTTGCAGACCAGAGGAGTACCCGCAGTTTCCCAGGGGGACTGGTTCAAACAGTTCCTCTCTGGCAGGAAGAAGAGTATGTGTGCACGGATATGTGTGTGTTTAAATCCTCGTGCAGCTGAAAGCACTCCTCTTCATCCTGACCCGCTGAATGGCACGTCTCTGCACACCGAATAGTTCACCTCCCTCTGGGCATCGGTTCCAGAGAGGTTCTGGCTGTCTGGATTTCTTGTGAGCCGCATAGTCTTCCAACTGTTTCCCATGGACGAGCTCTGGGAATGGGAGTGTCAGCCCTCTGGCTTCCCCCCACCATCGCTCTGAAGGGAGCCCTGAGTGTCCGACCAAGCCCTGCTTTCTCCTCCTGCCCTCTCCTTCTGACTTGGGGTCCTCTCTGTTCACTTTCTCTATCCCTGGTAGGCACAGCGTCTGCCTCTGCTGCAGGCTGGAACTAACACCTCTGACCCCCTGACCCCCGCCTCATGTCGGTCACATGACTAATGCCTGTAGCTAGTGTTGTTTCACCGTGGAAGGCTGGAACAATCCTCGGAGTTCATGTTTTTCTGGAAAAGGGATGCCCTTTTTGGTGTTTCAGTGCTGTCCGCCCCCCCATCCTCATGTCACACACAGAGAGCTCAGTGAGTCACTTGTGTTGATGACTTTGATGACTCGGAAACATTTAGTTGCCTTTTCGTTAGGCAGCTGTGGGTTATCCACGTACGCTGCGTGTCTGTACGGAGGCAGCGGAAGGGGCAAGTGTGCTGGAGCTCCCCGGCCCGTGCCTGCTTCAGACCTCCCCGTGGTCCGTCTGCATCGCTGCTACGGCTTCCTCTGCATTCCAGACTGTTCTGAGACTCACAGGGTCTCGTTAATTCTTCTTAGCAAAACTCAGGTTTGGGAATCAGGCAGAGGGGCTTCCGGTCAAACTGCTGTGGGGGGGGGGGGGACCAGCTCTGGGATGTTGTGTGTGTTTTTGCGTTTGTAAAATGGAGTAAGAAGGCCTATGATCCAGAGTAGGAACGAGATGGATGCGACTTGCTATCTGTGCCTCAATTTAGCCATTGTTAAATATTTTAATTAGCCCTGGCTGGTGTAGCTCAGTGGATTGAGCGCGGGCTGCGAACCAAAGGGTCACCGGTTTGATTCCCAGGCAGGGCACATGCCTGGGTTGCAGGCCAGGTCCTAGTGGAGGCCATGTGAGAGGCAACCACACATGATGTTTCTCTTCTTCTCTTTCTCCTTCCCTTCCCCTCTCTCTAAAAAGAAAAATTTAAATTACACTAAAATCCCTGTACCGAGATAATCTTTTTTAATGTCTAGCTTTCTAATTTTTCTTCCACTCACACACACACATGCATGCACACACTTTTGGGTGAAATATCATACATAACAGTATCCTGTAGATCTTCTCTTTGAACAGTATGTTCTTTCTTGGAGTAAATTGAGAGCATCCTTCCGTGTTAGTAAAAATACAGAACACGTCGTCACATGTAACATAGGGTGCGTTGTTATTCTTTGTTCCTACACATCCAGGATTGCATTCACCCGGCCCACAGGTACTTGTTGAGCACTAATCGTGAGGGCACGTAGGGTCCTCTCGCTCAGATGCACCACTGATGAAGCCGTTTCATTCCTCCCCAAGGAGGACTCTCGAAAGGTGGTCATCCGTACTCAGATTCAGGGGTGCTGTTGGGACGGGATATATCTTGGTTTTTTGGATTGTAAACTGCGTGTATAATAAGACTCTCTCTCCACAGCCAAGCTGGCTGAGCACAGGGCGAGCAGTGAGCCGGAAGGCGAGGGTCTGGGTGTGGTCGGCTCCAGCATCCCCGTGCGCCTCACCGCCTGTCTGTCCTCAGGGGAGAGGCACTCGCCGTGGAGGGCGGTGTACGCCTGTGTGCCGACTGTCCTCAGAGGCCCTTTCAAAGAGCCTTGGGTGAAATGCTGTTGGGTGAGCTTCGGCTCCTGGTCGCTGGTCTTCACTCTCCATACGGCAGAGGGGACACGCGCTTGGAGGCGTCGAGTGGGGAGGCGCTGCTGGAAGCGGCCCTTTGTTGTTGGGATCTGGGCAGAGTGTCGGGTGGAGGAGGAGTGGGCTGTAGACAGCTTTGTAGAAACTCGATCCAGACTGGCCCAGGGGTCCCTGAGCGAGGAGCATTCTTAGCCGCGGAGAGACCCTGTCACCTGCGTGTCTTCTCCACTTTTTTGTCCTTTTACTCCAAGGCAGTAACTTGTGGTTTTCTCCAGGACTCGAGATGCATTGAAGATGTCAACTTTCAAGAGAACCTTTTAGCTCACTGCAGGGGCTCTGGGGACACATAGTCTTGCTTGAAATCCCACTTTTGTCTTTGACATTGAGGACATTATTTAGTCTTTCTTACCCTCAATTTCCTTTTTGGGGGGGAAGTGGATATAATGACTGATGTTTTTTGAACACTCATTTGCACCAGGATCTGAGCTAAATGTTCTTAGAAACTTGACCTTATTTAAGCTAAGTTAGACAACCTGGCGAGTTGTTGTTATCCCTTTACAGAGAAAAACACTGAGGCTCAGAGAGGTTAACTTGCTACACTCACACAACTAATGAAAGTAATGCACATTGAACCCTTACTTAGCAGTGATTATTAGTCTTTTGCATATCACATCGACCTCTGACCTCATCCTCATTGTCTCCTACAATATAGTAGTAAATTACTAACTAGCAAACTTTGGAGCTAGCCATTCATTCAGTCAGTCGGTATGTTCACGGCTTCCAGGCCCTGGGTGTGCAGTGCCCATGAACACCCCAGGTCTCTCCACCAGGGACTCTTTCAGTCTTTCTCTCTCCCCCGTGTATTTTGCTTTACATGTGACTTGGAGCGGATTTAAGAAGGAAGGAGATTGCACAGGTCGGGAGAGAGGGTGGGTTCCTGAGGCTTGGAGGGAAGCTCATCCCAGCCATCTTTCTTCCTGTCCTGTTCAGCCTCCGTTTGCTGGTCTGCAGAATGATTGACAAAGTGGAGTCTCTGGGATTCTGGAACTGGGGGTGGGTCGGGAGCGAACAAGAGAGGGAGAAGAATATGTATTTTAGGCAGAAGCAGAGATGGGGAGAAACCAAGGAGCTGCCTGGAGGGGCCGCTTGGGCTGACTTGTGTATCCATTAGATGTCTGGCACTCTGGCTAAAGTACTTGACCAGCAATCAGTGTTGTTTTCTGGGCTTGACAAGCCTTTGTTCATTTAGTTGGGTGATGTGTTTGTCCGACTTAACCATAAGATCGGGTGATTACTGCCACTTCACTGCCCGCAGAACGGGGACCTGGAAGGGGGGCTCTTGCTGAAAGATCAGTTTGGCCTGGGTTGTCTAGGGAAGGGCAGCAGTGGGCACAGGCATCTGGGAACCAGCTCAGGAGGCAAATAAATACTGCTCTTGGCCAAACTCACAGGGCTGGAGCGTCTGCTCTGCTGGAGGCTGCACTGAGCCAGCTTTCGGCAAGGGGTGGGGGCAGTGGGCATGACAACATGCCATAGTGCCAGGAGGAAGGCTCAGGGTGGGTGGGCCAGAGAGCCACAGGTGGAGAATCCAGAGAGGGCTAGAGTCCAAGTCCAGAAGCAAGCCTTGACCTCCAAGCCCTTTCCTGCAAAACCCCTCCATGAGCGATGCAGAAACAGGCCCAGGCCCAGGAAGGTGACCTGCTCGGTTTCCTCCCTAGTCGGTGACATTGTTGGGGCTGGAACACAGATCCTCTGCCTCCTTCCATGTGTTTACCTTCCTGGGACAGCAAGGGCAGATCTGGTGGCAGTGGGAAGTTTTTGGATCTGTTGGGCCAGCCCCAAGGAGCAAGGCGGGCAAGAGCAGCAGCCGGTTGCAGGGGTGTGGGGACTTGGAGCTGACGGGGTCTGTTTCTCCCCCTCCCTTCCAGGTACACCAAACCGCTCACCTTCGCCGACTGCATCAGTGACGAGCTGCCCCTAGGATGGGAGGAGGCGTACGACCCTCAGGTTGGAGACTACTTCATTGACCACAACACCCGTAAGTTCCTGGCCATCCCCCCTTCCCCTTCCCCTCTGCCCACCCCTCTGCCTCCATGCTCACCCGCAAGTCGGTAAGCGGCTCTCGAAGCCAGATTGTATTCTGTTTGATGGAGTTAGACAGAGACGTCAGTGTAGATAGAGAGAGAGAGTGTATGCTCATATAAAATAACAGTTTCAGAGGGCTTCGAATAGAATCTGACACTCCCCCTCTTACAGGCCATCTCCCCAGTTTCACAGAGGCAACCACTGCTAACAGTTTCACGTTCCCCTTCCAGGAATTTCTCAGTCTTGTGTTTATGTGTGTACATGTATATTCTTTTTTACATATATCCACTTATGTGTATATAGACCTTTTTTCCCCCATAAAGGTAGCATGTCATGGTCATGGTCAGATCATTTGGGAGCCGCCAGAGCCCCAGGGAGTCCCCAGCAGCGTGCACACCTATGTGTGTCCAGGGTGGATCGGTGTGAGCGTGTGTGTTTCTGAGCGCATCGCATGAGTCAGCCCATCCTCACTTTATGTCTGCAATCCAAGTCTCCTGGTCCAGAGCGGAGACTCCTCGTGCCTGTCTCCAGGACTGTGATGGAGGAGTAGCTTGAGAAAGGGACGAGCATGTTGCCTGACAGGTGGAGGACCGCAGCTTGTGGTCCCCCAGCCAGGGAGAGTTACGTGTCCTTGGGCCGCGTCCACCGTGCACCTGCTTGGCCAAGACTCTTCCTGTCCTTTGAAATTTGCTGCCCCATTTGTTCATGGGAGGAAAGGGGATTGAATGAGTGGATTTCCTTGATCCTTCCAGGGAAAAGGAGAATACAGTGGGATGGGACATGCCTGGCAAAGCGTGAGGCTGAGGACAGGGCATTAAATCCTAGCCCACTCACTGAGCGTGCACTCTCTGCCATGTGCTGGGCTTGGCACTAGCCAGGCGTCATCTCATTTAATCCTCCCAACTACACTGTGGGCTGTTAGGATGATTATCTTCATCTTACAAACGGGACTTACAGGTAGTAATGGACCACTCGACACTCAGAGCTAAAATGTGGCAGAGCTGGGATTTGAACTGGTACTGCGGAGCAGAGGTGTGCTTCTCCATCCACTTCCTCCTCTGGGTTTCAGTGGCATCAGGCCATGCCTTTGTCATGCCCCTCATCACTCTGTAGTATAACCATCTGCCTGTTGTTGTTGCAGGTTCTTCTAGAGCAGGCAGTGTCTAATTCACCTTTCTGTTTCCAGGCCTTTGCCTGATAAGGCACACAGTAGGTGTGCACTTGACCTTTGCTAAATAGAAAAGGGCATACGTGCGCGAATGCATGGCTAAATGGATGAATGAGCGGACCGTTGCTGGCACCGAAGCGTAGAAGAGTTTCTGAGAGACGGCTAATGACATTAATTGCATTGTTGGGGGTAGCCGAGCTTTTTATTAGCACTCATGATTGCATATTGGATAATGAGAAGTAAATATGCCTAATTGGATGTGTATAGGGAATGAGGTTAATGCTGGGAGGGCGGCGTGGTGTGCTGGGGTAAACACGGATGTACCGGAACCTTAATCAGTCCTTTCCTGTTCCTAATTGCTGAGTGCATCCCCCTCGTTAAAACCTGATGGCGAGAGCGGGACTCAGAGGTGCTCCTGGGAGACGGTGGGGAATCAGAAGGAAGGAAGGGAGGAGTAGCAGGCAGCGGTGGAGTTTGTTCTGGAGGGAATGATGGCAGAAATGAGGTGGTGTGTGGAGGCTTGGGGGTCTGCGGGGCCCAGGACAGGGAGAATCCTGCCTGGCGGTGTTTCCAGCTGTCAAGGTACTGGTTTCCTTTGGTGTGAAGGCGCTCCCATTGGCTGGAAGGGCACCACCTCTGTGGGTGGAGCCAGTGACACCATCGAGGCCCAAGCGTTCAGAGCTGTGGACTGGGACCAGTCTTCTGTGTGTATGTTGCCCATTGGCTGAAGTCACTCTCTTAAGAGCTATAGACCCAATAGAATTGGACTACAGGTTAAACTTGCCATCCAGCACGCATTTGTTTGCCACCTGCTACGTCCCAGGCGCTGTGCTAGGAGCTTGGGATACGTGAGAGTGAATGGCAAGGATCCTTGTCCACATAGAGCTTTCATCGTGGCCACAGAGAAAATAAGCACAATAAGTAAGCAGATTATGTAGTACATTAGACAATTACCGGTATTATGGAGGCAAAGAGAAAATAGTGTGGGGAACTACTGTGTGCCGGATGTGTTTTGAGGGCGGCAAGGCAAGGACAGAGGAAGGACCTGTTGCAAAAATGAGATGTGACCTAAGACATGGAGACAAAGGAGCATTTCAGGTAGAGAGGGGAGACGGAGCAGAAACTAAGGTGCGACCGCATTTAGCTTGCTCAGGGGATGGCAAGGGGGCAGGTGTGCAGAAGGGAGAATGAGTGAGGAAGAAGAAGGACATCAGACCACAGATGGATGGGGCAGTGGTCCATCCGCCTCACTCTTCTGGCTTTTACTCCGTGGGAGGTGAGAGTCATTGGACACGTTCAAGCAGTTGAGTGGCATGTTCTGCTTTATGTTTCAAAAGGGTCATTCTGGTTGCTCTGCTACCAATAGACGTTTGTGGGTAAGGGCAGAAGCAGGGGCACTTGTGAGAGACAGTGGCGCTAGTCCAGGGGACAGAGGACAGGGTCCCGGACCAGGGCCACAGCAGTGGATGGAGGTGGTGAGAAGTGGCCAGATGCTGGATGTATTTTTAAGGTAGAGCCAATGAGATTTTCTGAGAGATTGCATCTGGGATGTGAAAGAAAGAAAGAATAGATGACCCTCGTTGGATTTGAGCAACTGGCCAATGGAATTGCCATCAATGGAATGAAGAAAACTACAGGAGAAGTGGGTTTAGGAAAGAGGAACAAGGGTTCTTCTGGGCAAAAGATGGTGCTGGTCAGCCTGATGTAGGAATCCAGGGTTTGGGAAGAGATCTGGGCTGAAGACAGATGCACGGGAGTTGTCGGCATGTGGATAGTATTTAAAGACCGGCTGCTGGACAAGGCTTCCAAAGAGGTAAATGAAGACAGAAGAAGACCGAGGGGCGAGCCGTGGGGTTCTCAGATAGGGAGGGGGTGCTGAGGAGAGGAAGGCCAGGATGATCCTGAGGAGCGATCAGAAAACTGGGGGGGGGACAGCCCGAGGGTCTTGGAAGCCCCGTGAGGGAAGCATATCAAGGGGCGACGCTGTCGGATGCTTCTGACAGATCCAGTGCGAGGGGGACTTAGACTTGACCACTAGGTTTAGCAACCCAGGTGACATTGGAGACCCTGACTGTGGAGCGCAGCTTTGGACACGAACGTGGGGGGCGGAAGTCTGATCAGAGCGAGTCCGAAAGCAAGTGGAGGGGAGGAACGGGAGGCAGCAGGCGCAGATAACTCTTTCCAAATTATAACCGGTTTTCATTATTTCGTGTCAGTACTCCTGCTGTTCAGATTCATCGTGACTAGGTGGTTTTAATTGGTGATTAAATGGTGTTCTGGGAAACAATGCACGTAGAATAATGAGACCAGATTTACCATAGGCTAATGACATAAATGAGTTAAGTTCCTGTGGCATCTCTTCAAAGTTGGAAGGAGACGACATCGAGTCTCGGACCTGCTCTAAGTCCTCTGAGACAGGAGTGAGGCTTCTCTGTGTTTTTGCGGTTTGGGGCTCCTCGGCTGATTCTAATAATGCTACTGGGGCTCAGAATTACTGGATGAAGCACCAACTTCTTTTTTTTTTTTTTTAGCAGTTTAGCTGAGAATCTGGAGAAAGGGCACTCTCATAGCTATTTGTGAGAATAAAAATTGGTACAACCTTGGAGAAGGTAATTTGGTGCCATCTCTATTAAAATTTAAATGTGTTTACCCACTGACCCAGTAGTTTCTCTTTTAAGAAATCACACAGTTAATCACCAAGTTCATAGAAGCATGTTTTTGAGACTCCTTCCTGCAGCAGTGAGAATTCTGTTGCTACCACAATCCTCACCGTCAATGGTGGTAGCAACAGAATGGAGAACAGTCCCAACATTTTCCAGCAGTGGTTTGGGGAACCACTGATACCCTGCTGTAAATAAATGTAATACTATTCATTCCATGGAAGACTATGCTATCAGTTAAATGACTGGGGTAAGTAAAGAAATAACGACAATACTACAATTGAAAAAAAATATAAAAAATTGAGGTTAATATTTATGCACCTACTAGGAAGGATGAACAATGTATGTGACACGGGGCCATGCTGCATTAAAAATAAGTTTGTATATACAGACGTGTATAAATAAACAGATTTGCAGATAATCAGGGGACAGAACCTATTAGTGTGTGAATTCCTAACAGCAGTTACCTGTTCTCAGACAGATTGATTGACTCTGGGTTTGGAAATTGATCGTGATCAATTTTGTGTTTGTTTGCTTAATCGACAAGAAGAGTCTGTGTTCTTTAATAGGTTAGTGTAACCCATTCGCATTTATTGTGGTTTTCCATTCACGATGCTTTTTGTTTTCTGGTCGTGGATTCCACAGGCCACCACCCCAACAGATGATTGTGAGGTGCTGACCTAGAGTCTCTGGGGTCTGTTCCAGAAACCACTCAGATCGAGGACCCCCGGGTGCAATGGCGGCGGGAGCAGGAGCACATGCTGAAGGATTACCTGGTGGTGGCCCAGGAGGCCCTGAGTGCACAGAAGGAGATCTACCAGGTGAAGCAGCAGCGCCTGGAGCTCGCGCAGCAGGAGTACCAGCAGCTGCACGCCGTCTGGGAGCACAAGCTGGGCTCCCAGGTCAGCTGTGAGTACCTCCCACCACCAGGGCCCACCCCTCTGCCGCCACCACCACTGGGAGGAGGGAGTGGCTGCCCTGAGTCCCGCCTGTGTTGCTTCCCAGTGCTTCTCATGTCTACCCACTTTCCTCCTCCTCCTCCACTCCTTGCGCAAACCATCTCCTCCTGCTCCTGCTTGTGCCTGCAGTGATTCATTTGCCGTTTTCCTTCCATGTCCTTTCGCTCATTTGTCACCCTCTCAGAGTGCCAATCAGGCTACATTATCTGCTGGTTTAAAGCCCTTCAGTGGCTGGGGAGGTGGGGTGTGGAGAGTTAGTGTTTAATGGGTGTGGAGCTGCAGATTGGGGCGATGAGAAAGCTCTGGAGGTGGACGGTGGTGATGTTTGCAGACTATGAATGTGCACTTACAGATGGTTCATGCGGTGAATTTTACGTTACATGTATTTTACCACAATTTAAAAACAAACATCTTCAGTGGTTTCCCAGCGCTCTTTGCAGGGCCTATACAGTCCCATGTGATCAGGCCCCTGCCAACCATACCCACCACGTCTCAGGTCATCAGTCAGCTGCAGACACACTGAGGGCCCCCCTCCTCGGCCAAGGCCTGCCTACCTACCCTCTGCTCCCGTCGCTTGCCCTGCACCTTTTCACCTTGGACTTGCTGTTCGCCTCCTTGGAGAGCTTTTCTGTGGATCCTTCTGCACAGCTGGCTCCTTCTCATCCTTCCAGTCTGGTTCTGCAGGCCATTTCCTCTGAGAGGGTCTCCCGGGACAACGCCGTCAGCACACGCCCCGCCCCCAAGTCAGCCTCCGGAAGGGCCCCCCGCTCATTTTCTTCATCACACACATCGCAGTGTATCTGCGTGTTTGTCTGTCGCTGTTTCCTTATTTGTCTGCCAGGGTCTTTCAACCTTGGTGCCACTGATATTTTGAGCCAGATTAATTTTTTTAACTGGGCTGTTATTTGTTATTTTTAAATTTAGTTTTTATTGTATTTTTTTTTCCCGTTACCATTTAGTCCCCTTATACCCCCCACTCCCCGAGCCAGGTTAATCTTTATCGGAGGAGTTACCTTGTGCATCGTGGAATCTTCAGTCACATCCCTGGTCTCCACCCACTCCATGCCAGCAGTCACCCCCACCCCAAGCTGTGTGTGACACCCAAAAGTGTCTCCACACGGAGCCAAACATGTCTTCCCAGGCAGAAGTCCTCAGCTGAAAACCCCTAGTCTTGGTAAACCAGTTCCCTTAGTGTCGCAATAAGTATCCTTTTGGGGCAGGAAACACTTGATGTAATGTTTTGAGAGTACGGACTCTGGAGCCGGACTGCCGAGATCCAGATCCAGGGCGTGCAGCTTACCTACCGGCTGGCTGACCTCACCCAGGTTCTGTGCCGCCTCTCTGTCTCAAGGTCTTCGTCTTGAAAGCAGACATGATAGTAGTATCACCCAAGTCACTGGGGTGTTATGGGACTTAAAGTAGTTGACAAATGCAAAGTGCTCAGAACAGCACTTGCCATATTCTTAAGCTCCCAAATAGTCACAGTTATTATTTGGTGTTACTGATTCATTGGCATAGACATGGCAAAGATTTTTAACAGATCCTCGGAACCGAGAAGAGTAAATCCATGATCAGTGGTAGGAAGTACATGGCGCAGTCATTTAACTGCTGGGTGTTCCCCAGAGCACCCTCGGGCTCGAAGACAGTTTTACTTTGAATGTTACAGAACTTCCACGTGGGGACCGGGAGCCCAGTTTAAAGAGACAGGGCCCAAGCCCGCTCACGCCTTTCTTCAGGTTTCACAAGCCAGGTTGCCGCCCAAGTGCAGCTCTTCGGCACGCCGATAGACTGGTGAGGGCGCATGCCCGGCCTCTAACTCAGACGGCCTGCCAGGGCTTGCGAGAGCTCTGCCACCTGGCCCTGGCTGTTGTGGGCCCTGCCCTGGGGGGGGGGTTGCAGTCTCCGGCTCTATGGGGAAGGAGAAGAGAGCTAACAGTGAGTGTGTCCCTGCTGTACTCCTGCTGGGCACTCTGCCCGTGTCATTTAAAGTAACCTCCCTCCCCACTCGCACACACATAGATACATACAAGCCTTCAAGATACCGCTGTTCTCGTTCTACATGTAAAGGAACTGAGGCCCCGGAGAGGGGACATGGTTTCCTTGGGGTCACCCTGGGAGAAGATGGCAGAGCCTGCTCGCCCTTATACCCAGGAGCATCTGACCTCAGAAACCAGTTCTCTTCATTCAATCCGAGTCAGCCAGTCAACGTCTAAGGTTCTTGGGCTACACGGGGGATCCTCCCATCTTCTGAAAGATGAGGACTTACGAGAGCTGGGTTCTTGCGGACCTCACCATGCTGCTTCCTCACACCAGTCTTGGGACAGGAGACATTTGAAAAATAAATCACTGGGAGCCTTGCAGTTAAACAATGCCAGGTGAACCCCTGACTCCAGAAAGTGAGCGGAGGTCTGCTGCAAGGTCTGCAAAGGCACGCACACCCAAGGACAAGGAGACATGGGGAACAGAGTAGTAGCAGCACAGGGTTTGAGCAAAAGTAGGTTTACAGTTGTGAGTACATGAAATACAGTGTATTCTTGTGTTATGGTTTATGAATAATTGTTTTCTTTTCCACACGAGCAACTGTGACCTTACTTTTCCCCCTTCCTGTACAATATGGAAGCTGGAAAGCAGACAGACAGGTGGCAACCTATCTGACAGACCCCAGAGAAGAGAAATGGGCCACTAGGGGGAAAAACCAGCATTGTGGTCCATAGAGCGCACCTGCAGAGGCCCTGCGAGCTGGACCAGCACCTGTGTCTGGGAGTGGGCGTGACGATGAGGAGGGTCTCCAATACGAGGACAGGAGGAAAGCTCTTTCTGAGGCAACCTCCCCAAATTGGTCACTGCCCCTCCCCAACCAGCAGAAGACTGAAGGTCTGTGTCTTGGAGAGACAAAACAAAACAGAGTTTGGACTACAAGATTCCATGCAAGTTCACTGGTGGCATGGACCATACAGAAAATGTGATTGACCGAACGTGAGACAAGACAGGATTTTGAGACCCCAGCCCACAAGTACCAGCTGGTTCTCAGGATGGTGCCAGACTATCCCCTGCCAGTATGGCCAGTAGAAGAGTCTGGGGAGATCTGAGCAGAGAAAAGAGATACGAAGAGAAAAGATGTAAAGACACTGGCAAAGGGGAATCCTGGATAAAAACAGTCCAGCCAAATCATGAACCCTGTAATTCAGTCAACAAGCTGGAATCCAGTCAGCTTTTTGGGCCCCCACTCTTACGTGGGAGCTGGCAGCGGAGAGCCAGACATCGCAGGGAAGCCTTGAACGTGAAAAATAGAGATGAACACACACACACGGTGATGGGGAGGCCATGGAGGGAACGGGATGGGAGCGGGGAAGAAGGCATCAGGAAACGGCACGGCCGCGAAGCAAGAACAGGATGCCGCATTTTAGGAAGAGGCGCCCTCGGAGCACACAGAAGGGCCTTTGGAAACTAAAATGCGATGGTAGAAAGGAACAGTCCGCAGGAAGGCTAGAAGGCAAAACTGCGGAAATCTTCTGAAAAGCAGAACAAAAGCACAGTGAGATGAAAAGTAAGGGAAATAGAGCACCCAGCCAGGAAAGCTGAGTAATACACGTTCAGATAGAGCAGAGGAAACGGGGAAAGAAGCATCAATGAAATTATTCAGAAAAATGACCCATAACTGATGGAGGAGAGTTTTTGGATTGAAAGGGCTCAGTGAGTGCCCAGCACAATGGATAAAAGTCCACCACACTGAGGCAATATCACTGTGCAGATTAAACACTGGGAATGATTCAAGATCCTAGAAGTTTTCTGAGAGAAAAACCAGGTCACAGAAAAGTTACTGGGACTCAGCACAACTCTGGACTTCACAGCAGTAACCTGGGAAACCTAGGAGACAAGAGAGCAGTGCCTTCAAAATTTCAAGAACAGTCATTTCCAACCTGGAATTTTATATCCAGCAAAACTACCTGTCAACACGTAGAGGATAGCGTGAGGATATTTTTACTAATGCAAGACTTCAAAAAGGTTTCTCCATCCTCAACTCTGGTGTTCTGCCAAAATGAGGGGCTAGTCCACAGAGGGGAATACGTGGTATTTTGGAAAGAGGAGAGAAGCAAGGAGGGCACCTCCAGATGCCAACTGTGCAGAGAGAGCAAGCAGCTCACACTGCAGCCAGCCCATGTCTGAGCAAGACAGGGCCAGAAAGAGGAGCTGGCCAGAAGGGGGACGTGGTGGCCTGGTCTCTGAGAGGGAGATTTAGATAACTGGCAGAGTGCGAGGGTGAATCAGCGATGAGTTTGTAGGCAAGCATAAGAACTATGATTATTAGCTCAAAGAAAAACAGACGTGCTGGAGAGGAAAAGTAAGTAAAGTCGGCTCCATGCCTCTGCCCTGAATAGTGTTTACAGAGTAAAAGTCGTGCGAAACTGAAGGTTGCTTTCACCCTCATGATGCTGTCTCTGGGGAGGAGGGGCAGCCGGGCGCAGTGCCTGTGTGCAGGTGGGGTAGGGGCTGGGAAAGGCAGGAACCTAAGTCCCCATCGTCCAGAGGGATGAGTGAAGAAATAGCACCTAACTGAAAAAAATCAAGAAGTAGCAATACGTGCGTATTATTTAGACACACAGGGGTGGATACCCAGGAAACTGGCTGCCCGTGGTTACTTGTCTCCCTTCTGAGAGGGAGATACGGGCACAGGGACCTGTGGAACGCTCTCTTTTTATAGCAGAACTTGTGTTGTGTTGGACCATTAGACTGCGTTCATATACAGTCGGGGGCAAGAGTAGGATTATAGTTGTTCATATGGAAAATAATACAGTAATTAATAAGTAATACAAGAATAGAATGTTTTGCACACTCACAACTGTAAGCCTACTTTGGCCCCACCCTGTATAATGAATTAAAGTGGAACATTTAAAAATGTGAGACTTTGAAGGCGACCTCTATGGCCCTGTTCAAATATAAAATTCTTCTCTCTGGAGGGTTAGAGAGGGGACAGGGACCCGAGGGGAAGCTGATGGCCTCTTTCTTCACTGGGGTGCTCACCACTTTTTGGTTTATTTCTCTCTGATCTTTTTAGATGCAGGATGTATGTATTTGTTTATTGTGTATCGCTTCCTAATTTATGTTATTCTGTCCTGACAGTTTTTGGTAAACTATCGTTTTCCTCCCACAGTAGCTTTTAGACATTTTCCCTTGTTCAGGATTCTGCTCCATCATTTTAAATCACGCCAGTTGTGTGGTCCCCACCCATTTCATGCAGGGACCACATTTATTTCACAGATCCCCCAATGTTGGACATCTAGGTTATTCACTATTGGTCATCCCTCCCTGGGTTTATCTCGATGGCCAGCTGTGCCAGTTTCACCCAAATGTGTTTCTTCTACAGAATTTGGTCTCCCTTTTTCGTTGCAGTGGTGTCCGGTTCGTCGTCCAGCTCCAAGTACGACCCTGAGATCCTGAAAGCGGAAATCGCCACAGCGAAATCCAGGGTAGGGCGTCTTCGTGTGCACTGTGCGCGGGGGTCACTGAGGCTCCCCCACAAGACCAGAGCGGATGCAGAGACCAGGCTGGGGTAGCCAGTGCTGGCTAACAGGCCCTACATAATACCAGTAGTAGCGGTAGTCAGTTGTCGTCATAGTAACAGTACTGGTAATGGCAGATACGTCATCACAAGCACTTTACTATGTATACAAGGCACAGTGCTGAAAGTTTCATGCGTGTTATCTCATGTCATTACGACAGCCCCATGAGGTAGCTTCTGTCACTATCTGCACTTAAAGATCAGCAAACAGAGGCTTAGGGGACAAGTAACTTATGCAAGGTCACAAGGGACGCAGGTTTACTCCAGAGTTCCTAATGTCATGTGTGTGCTATCTTCCTAACTATTGCTGGTTCTACATGATCTTATTTAACCTCTTCACATTTGCCATTTTACTGATGTGGAAACTGAGGCATGGCAGTAAGTGAGGTGCTCAAGGTTAAAGGCAATATTTCGAACACTGGTTTTGTTCCACTTCAGAGAGGTTCAACTCAGGTGCTTGTAAGAAAACATAAAAGGGGGTAGAGGGCTGGGGGTGGGGCAGTAGGGAGCAGTGGGGACTGTAGCCTAGAGAGTGGGCTCTATCTACAGGGGTGGTTGACTTTTAGCTGTAGCTTACTGTGGCCATTCAGGAATGTGGGCTCAGTGCTGGCAGCTCTTCAAATACTTTTATTTTTTAAAGATTCTATTTATTTATTTTTAGAGTGAGGGGAAGGGAGAAAAAAAGGGAGAGAAACATCCATGTGACACAGAAACGTGATTGGTTGCCTCTTGCACGCCCCAACCAGGCATGTCCCCAACCAGGGACCTGGCCTGCAACCCAGGCATGTGCCCTGACCAGAAATCAAACCCTCGGCCTTTCAGTTCACTGGCTGGTGCTCCACCTATTGACCCACACCAGCCAGGGTGGCAGATCTTCAAGTATTTTTAGAGGAGAACTATATATCTAGGTTCATTATATGAAATTTCTCAATATTTAAATATTAGCAAGTAATTTTAAACATTTTAGTAGTGCTGCAGGCCAAACCAGGCATTCCTACAGGCTGGCTCTGGCTCCCAGGCTAAGGCCTGCCTTGAAGTTACTACATTGCCTTTCGCATCCATGCACAGCACTCCCGTACCTACTCCCTGCTTTACGTAGTGCTTGGCCCCGGGGGCTGCCACCATCCATCAGAACAGGAGAGGGAGGTGAGAGGGCTTGAGAGTGGTCACCCAGCTGGACAGTGGGAAGGCCAGGCTCCCTCCCAGGTCAGCCAGCTCCTCTCTACTTCCTGTGTCCCCGGAGCAAGGGCTTGGCTCTGCATGGCCTGCAGGATGGCCAGGCTGGGGTGCCGCCTGAGTGGGCAGCTGCAGAGAGCAAGGCAGCATCGGTGAGGGGGCAGTATGGTGACCAATGTGGCCCAGAGGGTGTTGACCTGGGTCATTGTGCAGGGGCCGTGGGGGGCTCTGGGTTTCCCTGCGAGGAGAAGGTGGCCTGCAGCTCGATGTCAGCCTCTGACCTGGCCCCCTGTGTGGTCTTCGTCACCCAGGTCAACAAGCTGAAGAGGGAGATGGTTCACCTCCAGCAGGAGCTGCAGTTCAAAGAGCATGGCTTTCAGACCCTGAAGAAGTGAGTCCGCCCTGCCCTCTGTCTCCCCACGGGGCTCTTCACCTCCCCGCCCTTCCCCCTTCATAAAACGTGGCTCTCCAGTCACGTGGTCCCAGTTCTGTTCCACTGCATTTACTGAACATATCGCCCAAGGTGTTGGGGTTTAGAAAGAGGAACTAGGAATCATTTCAGACCAGAGTTCCCATCGTCCCCTGAATTCCTGAAGCCCATAAAGTTCTGTGCTGCCCAGCTGAGTTTTATGAGCCAGTGTAGAAACTCGTACTGAACATTTCTGAGTGCCTGTCTTTTCCCCCATCCCGCCCCTCCCCAGTAGATCTAGTAGAATCTCCCATGCACAAAAACAGAACAAGCTCTTTTTCTTCCCATGGCCCCTAAACTGAGAGATGGCTTCACCTAGGGAGTTCCGTGGAGGGAACAAGTGTCTCTCCCACGATGAATTACCAGCAGAGTGTGCATGATTCCACACCCACTGTACTTTTTGGACTGTGACTTGAGGAGCTTCCAGGAAACTTAGACCAAATGAGATTTTCACTTTTGGAAGCCGGCTTGCAGCCAGGCAAGACGCAGCTCTGTGTTTCTGTAGAGCAGATGTGTTCACTGTCATGGCCGTGATTTTGCCGAGAGCAGTCGCTCGGTGCCGGGAAGCACTTGCAGCGTGTCTGCCCGGGCGACCTCATTCAGTCCTCACTGCAGCTCTGTAAGGACCGTTCTTTCCGCTAACTCCATGTTACAGATGAGGAAACAGTCACAGAGTCAGTGCTCGGTAAGCACGTGTTTACTGTGAGCAACCACCTGTCCATCCCGGCTTGTGCATTGACTCACGGTCAGTGTCTCTGATGGGCTCATCAGACAGTCGCTACAGAGCAGCTGGGCAGCTCTCTCAGAAGCTCCAGGGCGGACGTCTAGTAGCTTCCTCTGTTCGCAGGCACATCCCACTCAGAGTCCCAGGGAAGGCACATCTGTACAGACAGCTCACTTCCTTTCTCTCTCGCCCTGACTCCTCATCCTCTGAACCTCAAGTCCAGCCCCACCGATCCGTGGTCCGAGCCCCAGGCCTTTAGCTTTTAGCTGTCTGTCTCCCTGACCTCTTAATCGAGTGACCCATGACCCCCTGCTGAGGGAACTCTTGGTCTTATAAACATCTTCCTGGCCCCAAACCCCCACTGTCTGGGGTGAGTGACTGTGTGCCCCCACAACACAAGATATAAGAAAGCATGCTTGTGCATGATGTATTTTTTATACTATAAATTATGGTTGTGTATATAAGTACTCTGTCATTTGTGTGTGTGTGTGTGTGTGTGTGTGTGTGTGTGTGTGTGTATGCCAATGCTGTCTCTCTCAGACCAGATTCTGATGTCATTAAGGTAAGGGACCTTGCTTTATGCTTCTCGGTAATCTTCGGTAGGGCCATGGACATTTGAGGGCAGTGGTGTGAGCTTAGAAAATTCTTGTTTTTGACATATAAAGCAAGTGTCCTCCTCAGACGTCTACTATAGTAGGGAGGCAGCTTCGAAGGGCTTCTCCCACGTGCTCATCATCATCATCATCATTATCACCATCATCCTGCCCTGGGGGCCCTCCGCAGGAGCCCAACCCGCCTCCCCCTTCCTGCAGTTCTCGGGAGCTTCTGGTGAAAACACAGCTCATTATTCTCTGAGCCACCACAAACCTGTTTTACCACTTTGTCACCCTGTAGTAGCATTGAAAATTCTTGTTGTTGGGTAAGCTGAGCTGAAACCCCAAGGACAATCCTCCTTTTCTCCCCTCCCTCCACCCTCCGCCCTCCTGCCCTCCCGCCCTCCCGATGTCTGATGTCAGCCCCGATAAGACTCCCGCTGCCCACGCTCTCTAGCAGGAAGCTGGCACCCTGTGTGAGATGTCGGGGAGCATTTGCTTTAATGCACACCTTGGCACCGAGGGCTAGGAATGTAGCCTCAAGAGGAGATGGCCTGGGTTCAAATCCCAGTTCCCTGGGACCCTGGGAAAGTGACTTCATTCCTCTGAGCTTCGGCTTCTCTATCCGAATACGTCCTTATGAAGAGTGAATGGGGAAATTCACGTCAAGTGCATACGCGGTGGGCGACTTCTAGCTAGTTGCCTGCTTGGACTTGGGAAGGGACTTGGGTGAACCGGAGGCTGTGCTGGGTAAGCACTGTGGCCCCGTCACCTCATTCCATTGTCGGTACCCCCCCAAGGAGAAGTGTTTGTTCCGCCCGCTGTGTAGGTGAGGCACTGGCGGGCTGAAGGCAATACCCAAGGCCTCCTGGCTAGGAAAGCGGCAGATCAGGGATTGGAACCCAGTATTCCCGGATTTTGGAGCTCACGTCTTAATACCACCCTTCCTGCCATCGTACCAGGTACAACCTCCCACCCCCCAAAAAGATAAGATCCCTTCATAGGGGACAGTACTGTCACTTCTTCCTCTTAGCGCCCTCTCTTTGCATTCCATGGAGGACGGATTAACTTGCCATGTGTTCCATGCATGGTCACCAACCCACTGTCACAAGAAAAGGCTGACGAGGGGTGGACAGTACCTCTCAGGGGAGACTGAAAAATCACTATGGAAGGTGGGCATTTGGGCCTGCCGGCCGCCCTGAGCCCATGTGAATAGGAAGGAGTTGGGACCTGGCACACAGTTCCCACGGGAGAGAGGGCAGTGTGGTGTCTTTCTTCGTGTCCCCAAGGCCGCCTGCCCAGGTGCGAGCGGTCCCCGTAGGACGGGGAGGAGGTGGCTGCCGTCAGAGCCTAGCCCCGCTCCTCCGTCCGGCTGTGCTGTGGCTCCCGGGCGTGCGGGTCTGCGGTGCCGAGAGAAAGGACCCCTGCGGAATGTGCAAATCCTAAAACAGGACCCCCCCCAACCACAGGCATACACTCTCCCCTCCCTCCAGCCACACAACTTTTCTATTTCCTTAAAAAAAAAAAATTCATTCACTGTGTACATAATGGTGACCCTTTGTTCCCCTCCCCCACCCCAATCCCAAGAGCGTTCCTTCCCTCTGCGGGCTGCGCTCCGGAGCCAAATTCCAGAGCCCGGGTTGCTAAGGCCTCCGAGAGAAATCAGGTAGAGGCTGTGCGAGGAGCCCGAGGCCCAGAGACAGACTGCTTCTGTCTCGCCCTGCTGAGGATTCAAAGCCATCCTCCCCCTTGTTGGCAGAGGACAGCTGGGCACAGCCCCTTGCCCAGAGCCCCCAGCCCCTGGATATGCTCAAGCAGACAGTGTCTTCCCTGCATGTACCCTGCTGCCCCTCCCAATTTGGGGCAGGGCCCCCTCCAGTCCTGGGCACTCGCTCTCAGGGGTCCTCCCCTCCCCGGAGCATCTTGGGGAGGCCTCCGAGGCCGAAAGCTCCCCTTAGACGCGTTTCTCAACCTGAATCTGAGACCAGCCTTTGCCGACCTGGCAGGCTCGCCCAGGCCCGAGTCCTCGAAAGGAACAGACAGGCTATTTTTAGTGGGGAGACATAAATGGGGCTTTGTTTCCTCTCTGCGGAGCTGAACTAACGGATGGGAAGGGGGAGGGCTGAGCTGAGACCTCCATCAGGTCTCTCTCTCTTTCTCCTCCCCCTCCCCGCCCTCCCTCCTCAGAGGCACCGTTGATGAGACCAGGATGAAAACCTACTCCTGGGTGGGTCCGAGGCTCCCCATGCCAGTTACTTTTTTAGCTCGGTGCAGTGTAGCGGGAGACCACTGCGGACTGCCTATGAGCAGTGGCCCCCCTGCACAGATGGGTGTGTGGGGTCCCCGAGGGCCTCTCCTTGGGTGAAAATGGGAAGCAGTTCACACCCATCTCTGCCCTCTGAACCTTTCCCCGCCACAGCCCCCTCCCCCAGAGGGTTGGGGCCCAAGCCATCTCTGGGGACCTTCAGAAAACATCATGACCCTTCACATTTTATATATCCACCCCCCCACCAAAATGAACCTGTATGTAGGACCTAGATAAACCTGTAAGCGCTCCAGGCTAGAAGTATTCTAATCCTTTACAGTTGTCTGGTTCACCCCCGATTCTCCTTTATCCCGCTTGCTGCTCTGGACAGCTCCGTGGTGCGGGCTGGGCGCACACATTAGCCAGTTTTCTGAGAGGAGGAAGCTGAGGCTCCTTGTCCCTGGGGCCACGCCCGGGGTCACTCTGAGTGGTAGCCGGGGTGGGGTGGTGGTTTCCATCCTTCTAACCTTTCCTTCGTGGTGGTGTTGGCTCCATGAATGCCTGTTAAGGAAGGTGACTTTGCTTCTCTCCCCCAGGAGACATTAGGCAAAGTATGGAGGCATTTTTGGTTGTCATAGCTGAAGATGAGATGCTGCTGGCATCCAGTGGGCAGAGACCTGGGGTGGCACTAACCATCCTCCAATACACAGGGTAGCCCCCCACAGCAAGGAACGAGCCAGTCTCAGATATTAAAAGAGTTCTGAGGCTGAGAGAGCTGTACTAAAGGACTAGTCTGTGCCAGACACTAAAACTACTCAAACGTATTCAAGCCTGCCAGCACCAAGTCACATAAATTGCTGTGACACAGCGTAACGAGCGTAGTGTTGCAGCTATGCGCTATGCGTTATGGGAACACCTAGTGCAGCCTGGAGGACCCAGGAAAGTAATCTGGGAGGGCTTCCTGTAAGAGCCGACACTTAGAGGACCCTTGACTCCAATAGTGGTGTTGCCGCTGCAGCCCCACACTATGGGACATTTGTGATTTAACAGGGTCCTCCTGTGCCTTATTCCACAGGCGGAGCAGAGAGAGGAGACTTCTAGAGGGAATGGAGCTCCGTGGTCTGTGCTTCCTCCTGGGGAAGAGCCCCATCCCCTGCCCTATCTCTGACCTTTCCCATTGGTTGTCTCCTAGAATCGATAAGAAGATGTCGGATGCGCAGGGCAGCTACAAACTGGACGAAGCTCAGGCTGTCTTGAGAGAAACGAAGGCCATCAAGAAGGCCATCACCTGTGGAGAGAAGGAAAAGCAAGATCTCATTAAGGTGCGGAGTTCCCGTGACGGGGGCTCCATCTCTGTTTCTCCCGGGCCCCTTTCTGTGCCCGGACTCGCAGGCCAGTGCCACGTGCTGCGCCGACCCCTGAGTTCCCACCACTAGTTACCTCGGGCTTGTGGAAGGGGAGGCTCAGAAGCATTCAGTCACCTGCCTATGGTCACATGGCTGTGTGAAATGGCAGTTGAAACAGGAGCCCTCTAGTCCGAAGGTCATGCCCTTGCCGCTAGTTCCAGCCACCTGGCTTACCTTTCAAGGGACCAAATGGAGGAAGGTGACTCAGCATTGTTAATGTTGACATCAAAGGGTAGCATCTTTTTTTTTTCTTAACGATTTTATTTATTTATTTTTAGAGAGGACAAGGGAGAGAGTAAGAGAGGGAGAGAAATATCATTGTGTGGTTGCCTCTCTCACCCGCCCCTTCCTACTGGGGGCCTGGCCTGCAACCCAGGCGTGTGCCCTGACCAGGGATCGAACTGGCGACCCTTTGGTTCATAGGCCCATGCTCAGTCCACTGAGCTACACCAGCCAGGGCCAAAAGGTAGCATCTTTATAAGCATTTCATTGTGTGTTCTGGCTCTCTGCTGGGACCCGAACAGATGATAATAGGTGTGATTGATGTTCCAGGCAGTTGTGCCAAGCACTTTGCATGCACTGTGCCTCACCTAGCCTTGACACCAACCTTACTTTACCCCCATCATGCAGTTATAAAGGCTGCCTCGCTCAGAGAATACATGGGAAAGCCAGGGTTCAAGCCCGTGAACCCCTGTCTCAGAAGGCCGTTCTTGTAACCCTGGTCCGTCCCACTGCCTCTCGCGGGACTCCCCTGACCTCGGAGATATTATTGTTCCCGTCTGCAGGTGAGGGGTCTGAGGCTCAGAGAGGCCGTAAGTGACTTGGCGAAGGAAGCTTTACCCTCTAGCACAAACAGTAATTCTGAAGCTCCTGCCCAGAACGGCAGCCCAGTGAAAGCATTCAGACCAGGCACTGGCGGGCAGTGGGACGTGTTCCTGTTGTGAGTGGCAGTTCGGAACACCGAGTCTCGTGCCACACAGACCAGGAAAGCCTGGCTCTGTCGGTTGCCAGCCCCTCCGTGTAGCCGCTCCTTTGTGGATCACGCGGGGATCAAGTCATTCCTGGCAGGGCTGTGGCCAGGATTCAAAGAGGCCATGGTAAAGCTGACAGCGTCTGAGTGTGGGCTGTACTAGCACTTTACTCTGGGCGTCTCGTTGAATCGGCGTCATGGCCCCTGCGATGGGATCTAGGATTACTCCCCTTCTGCAGGAGAGGAAACTGAGGCACAGAGAGGGTAATCCTCTAGCTCAGATCACCCAGCTGGGGAGTAGCCGAGTGGGCGTTCTAACCCAGGATGTGTGGCTCCAGGGCCAGCATCCACACCTGTCTCCCAGGTAGGTGTGCGGCACAGTGCCCGGCACCTAGCAGGTGCCCACTCACTGCTGGCTCTTTACAACAGACAGAACTAGGAAGTCTGGATGAGCGTGGGCTCCTCCCAGGTTACGGAAGGTGGAGAGAAAGGTGCATGGGCCGCGGCAGACCCGGAGCCCCCTCCCAGGACGGAAAGCGTGTCGCTGACCACAGCTGTCCTCCCTGCCTCAGAGCCTTGCGATGCTGAAGGATGGCTTCCGGACCGACGGGGGGTCCCACTCCGACCTGTGGTCCAGCAGCAGCTCTCTGGAGGGTCCCGGCTTCCTGCTGCCGAAACAGTTCCTGGACGTGAGCTCCCAGACAGACATCTCGGGAAGTGTGAGTAGCAGTGCCTGCTGCCGGGGGGCTGCTGTGACGGCCAGCCACCCTCTTGCCGCTCACCAAAGGAGCCAGCTGGTGGTCGTCTGTGCGGCTGGCTGCTGACGCAGCCTGCAGGAGCCCCGTGCCCTTACAGAACTCTCCTGGCCCCGGCCTGTCGGGAGACAGTGGTGTGAGGAAAGGTTCCCATGAATCCCCGTGTTCACTGTCACCCGGCCATGTGCTTGTGTCTGGGTGCTGCCCAGAAAGTGTTTTTGAAGGACCAGGTGTCTTTCTCTGGTTTCCTTCGTCCCATTTTGCAGAGCCATTCTGTTCTTCTCTCCCCAGCTGGAAAAGAGAGGACGTGTTCCCCCTGTTCGTCCCAGAACAGCGCGTGCAGCCTCCAGGCAGCTGCGCGGCTCCCGGTTCCCAAGCTCGGTCTGGTCGTGGTCGATGAATGGTGCAGGTTCTGTCCAGGCCTGGCCTGTGACCTGGCCCGTGGCAGTCCGTTGCTTTGGGGAGCTTTTGTGTTCTAGAGCAGGTGACCTTGAACGAGTCACTGCCCAGCCTCTGTGGCTAAAATGCTATTCCTGTCTGATTTCTGTAGCCGTGCTCCCACTTGTGAAGAGAGGCTATACCCACGCCTGATGGGCTGAGCCTTGTAGCTTCTTGCTGCTCTCGATGGCAAACAGGCCTACCCCACCCTCACCCCCCCCACCACCACCACCCACGGGTCCAGCTACAAGCCAGCTGTGGGCTGAAATATGTGAGAAGAACCTGTGTGCCTCCTTCCAGTTCTAGAATCTTCTCCTCACTCACCCAGTGTCTCATTCCCAGCTGCAGCCTCCTGAGCTCTTTTCAGTTGACCTCCTCCGCAGTGCCCCCAGAATGGCTTTTCTTGTGAATGGGCTGTCCCTGTTTCCTCCCGACCAGCTGTCCTCCATGCTTCCGTGGCTTGAATGGGCTCCAGGCCATTTGTGGCCGCGAGATGATATTCTGAGCCATAAGCTTCTCTTCTAGACGTGATTGATGTCTGCGTTTGGGGCTCTTCCCATGGCCCGAAGGAAGGAGCGTGTTTCTGCCTAACCGGCTTCTTTGCAGCGCGCCCAGCCAGCTCCGCCATTGGGGGCTATACTTAGCTCCTTCCCCCAAGAACTGTCACGTCTCCCCTGCGTTCTTGATGCCCAGCGCAGCGCCAGTCATGACAGCCACATAACTTCTGACTTCCTCCTTTCCTCCAGTTCGGCCCCAGCAGCAACAATCAGTTGGCAGAGAAGGTCAGACTGCGCCTTCGATACGAAGAGGCTAAGAGGAGGTAATTGCGGGCCGGGGGTGGGATGGTCTGGCAACGTGAGTACGGTTGGAGAGGGTCGGCCGTGTGCCTGGCTTTTTACATGCCCCCCCTCGCTGAATCTGGCGAAGATTATGAAGACGAACATTACAGTCTTCATATTTTCACCTTCTCCGAAACTCAGATGGGAAATGACTGACCCAGCAACACTTAGCTAGGTAAGGGGTGGGCTGTGCTCTGAACTCGGATCCGTTGGACCTTAGAGCCTGCTTACCTCTTCCCCTGCTGGCCTCCGTCCCTGTAGTCGGAGTTTTCCAGTGCTCCTGTGTGTAGTGTGGCTTGAAGGAACACACTGGGATTAGCAGCAGGCTAAAGAGACTGGATCCTGCCCACTGGGAGCGAGCTGCGCTGTTAAACCACGTCAGATGCCAGTGACTTCGGATGTTCTGTGGCTTCACAGAATCCCGAGTAGTGGAGTTCTACTGCCACAAATAAAATTAATACAATGAGCAAAGCTGACATTTCCGGAGCATCTGTTACAAGCCAGACATTGCACTAAAGCGTCTGCATGTGCATTATCTCGTTGAATATCAGAAGCAACCGTACAGCATAGCTTATCTCATATGGTCTGCAAGTTAGAGAAGAGGAAGGCGAGATCCAAGATCGGTTTCCAGTGTGGTGACGTCAGAATTTGAACCCTGGACAATCCGGCTTCGTGTCCATGATCGTAGTGTATGCGCAACCAGCCTCACCGGGAAGGATCCCGCAGGGCGTTGTGTTACTGACAGAAGCAGGTGGGCTGCACCCATTTCTCCTCAGGCGAAGCAGTGTGGCCCATGGACCTTCTCAGCCAGTCCAGGTGGAGTGTCAGCACCCAGCTGTTCACTTCTGCCCCCTCTCTGGGAGCAGCAGTGACAGAAATTGGATAGAAACTCTAGGAAACAAAGAAGAGAATTTGTTGGCTTATTGAACTCCACGGTCCTGGGGGAAATGAGCTTCAGACCCAGCTCTATCCAGGGACTTAAGTGATTGCTACAAGGACTCAGTCTCACCCCTTTTCTCCACCCTGCTTGTGTTTGTGTGGATGGACTTACCTGTCAAAGGGGCAAGACGACCCCAGCAGTTCTAGGCTTCCATGCTACTGGTGGAAAGCGTGCCTGCCTTTCCCAATAGCTTTAACAAGTTTGGAGTCTGATACTCACAGCTTTTCTGGGTGAACCAGTCATTGATGTAGGGTGGGGAGAATCAGATTGATCAGGAGGTCCAGGCATGGGCGACATGCCCAGGTCTAGGAGGGAGACTGAAGTCAGCTTTGTGGGAACCCAGTGAAGCTGTGGGAGGAGTGGTTTCCCGAAGACAATTTGGAAGATTGTGAAGAAAGGAGGAGACATTGAACACCAGTCAGGTAGGGAGAAAATACTTCCAGTGTACTGTTGCAGCTCCCCCTAGAGGTCCCGCAAAACAACCGGATTTCTGCATTTGGACAGCCACTTCTTGTCCCCTCTGAAGGGGACTACTCTGAACCCTGGGTCTTGCCCAGTCTGGAGTAATGCCTGTGTGCGGGGATCAGTTCTGGAGAGACAAAGAGATTGCAGTCTTCCCTCTGGTGCTGAGCCACTCCACTTCCTGTCTCAGAGAGAAGTCTCAGCGCAGCTTCTCACCGCCTCACACCCTGGCTCATCCGCCTTAATCCAGCTTCCCACCTCCCCCTCCCCCTCAGCTCCGGTGTAGTTAGCTGTAAGGGACGGCGCAGCAGAGGCTGCAGGACCTGAAGGACCAAGGGCAGGCGGCTGCAGTGCAAGGTCAGGTCATTGTATGCCAAGCTTTGTCACGTGTGCGTTTCTGGGCAGTGAGTGTAGTAGTTCCATCCGATTCTCCGAAGGGTGGATGGCCCGCCGTGTGAGGCGCACTGGCGCAGTGAAGGAGCCACTGGAAAGAACATCTGAGAAAGCATCCGTCACCCCTTTGTCGTCCCACACACAGTGGAGCCGCTGCCAGACTCGGCCGTTTCGCTCTGTCTTCAAAGCAGCTGGAGAACAGCAGCCAGGGAGTTATCCCCCGATCAGTCCTGATGGATTGCTAGAGATGTGAATATGGAATTTAAATTAACTCGAAGAATCCGTGTGTGCGGAGACACTCGGCTGGGGAATGAGCAAACTTCGATGTGTCTCTCTGTCAGGAATGTTCACAACGCAGCACGGAGATCTAGTTTCCCACTGTGGTTTTTTGTGTTTGTTTTTAAACCCTCGCTGGAGGACATGTTTACTGATTTCTAGAGAGAGAGAGAGAGAAACATTGACGTGAGGCAGAAACACTGATCTGTTACCTCCTGTACACGCCCCAGCTGGGGAACAAACCCGCACCCTTTCGGTGCATGGGATGACACCCCAACCAACTGAACCACCTGGCCAGGGCCCCCCACCATGTTTTGATAAAATAAGAGTTGGGTCCCATTGTCAGCAGATCTGATGAGACTGGGTGGGAGTCCAGAGGCCTGGGCTCTCAGCAGGTACGAGATGCGCTTATACCTTCCGGTCTTAGGTGAGCCACATCCTTCCTGGACACGTGTCCAGCAGCATTAACCACCAGGTCTCCCCCACCCTTTAGGGGCTGGGAGAGGCTGGGATGTGGTGGCTGAAAGCACTTCGCACAGGCTAAACCTGAGAGGGTCACGTGATCGCATCAGTACTCTTAATTATGCTAGGAATCTTACTTTGGTCCAACCATAATCATACCTCACGTTGCCCTGACCGGTGTGGCTCAGCTGGTTGGGCATCGTTCCTCAGAGCAAAGGGTCACTGGTTCGATTCCGGTCAGGGCCCAAGTCTGGGTGGCAGGTTCAGCCCCTGGTCCAAGCACATACGATCGATGATTCTCTCCCTCTCTTTCTCCCTCTCTTCCCCTCTCTTTAAAAATAAATAAATAAAATCTGTTTTTAAAAAGTCATGTCTAATACCTGTAAGCACCTGGCAGTGTATAAAGAGAGCTTACTGGTTTTCTTACCATGTTGTCGCTTGGTCCTCATAACCCATCTCCCCTCACCTCACAGATGAGGGTCCTGGGTTTCAAAGGAGTTAAGGAATAGGGCTCTCTCTTCTGTAGCATTTATGTGCCAGCAGCATCCCGGGCACCGTACTAGAAACCCATGATACAAAACTTATTCCTCAACAAAAATTACATTTCATCAGTAAGGCCAGAGCCAAAGCTGCAACTAAAGGCCTCCGGCCCCACATCCATGGTTGCCCACACGGTGCTGCTGCCGCCGCTGCTCTCTGAACCAGGGACGTGTGGTCAGCAGTTGTCGTCTTTGGCGTGGTTGTAGTGGGCCCACGTCCGCCATTGGTTGAGCACCTGTCGTGTACCAAACACTCTGAATTCATTACTGCTCATTTCCACAGCAGCTCTGAATGGTGAAGAAGTGTTTTGTTATCTACAAGGCTCAGGGGCTTTGCCCAAGGTTACGTATTTAATAAATGGTCAAACCAGGTAATAACCACAGAGGCAGCGGAGACATTGGTTGAGTGCTTCCTGTGTGCCAAGCACTGTGCTGTGAGAGGTTTCAAGTTGTGTCATTGAAACCTTGAACCACAACTTGGGAGGAATGGCTACACCCTTTGGAGAGATTAGTGACTTGCCCAAGGTCATGTAGCTAGTGGTAAGAGCCTCTTGCCTGGTGATGAGTCCAGCTCTCTATTCCGTTCTGCCAGCCTCAGCATCCCCCAGGGCAAGGCCATTGCCGTGTCCACGTCTCTGCCCCAGCCCTGCAGAGCCTGCTCATTGTCGGCACATGGTAGGCACCGCATGGGTCTGCCAGGCAGAAATATGTTCGGGAGACAACATGCTGAGCCAGAGGAAGTCAGGAACTGTCAGAGATTGCTCAGAGCGTGTCAGGGCTCCTTGTACCTCCTAGCCTTGACCGTGCCATCTGTTACCCTGCTCCCATAATGCCATGGGCACGCTTATCACGCTCACCTTCTTGGCCCACAGGATCGCCAACCTGAAGATCCAGCTGGCCAAGCTGGACAGTGAGGCCTGGCCCGGAGTGCTGGACTCAGAGAGGGACCGGCTGATCCTCATCAATGAGAAGGAGGAGCTGCTGAAGGAGATGCGCTTCATCAGCCCCCGGAAGTGGACCCAGGGGGAGGTGGAGCAGCTGGAGATGGCCCGGAAGCGGCTGGAGAAGGACCTGCAGGCAGCCCGGGACACCCAGAGCAAGGCCCTGACGGAGAGGTAGGGCTGGGCTGGGCTGGGGCCGGGAGGGGGCGGGGGACCCTTCCTCCACTGCCAGGCCTGCGCTCCAGCCCCCAGCAGGGGAGCAGGGCGAGGGCGACCACCCTGGGTGCCTGGGCTCTGCCCTGAGAACACCCCATTCAGAGATCTCGCAACTCTCCGGAAGTTGTGAATCGGGGGACAGGATAGAGGCTCTTTTATTACTGCCTTCAGCCCCGTCTTTCAAAGGTCTGATTGCCTCCCTGGGACAGTGAGTTCACAGAGCCAGTCCAGGGAAGCCGGACCCGCCACTCCCCAGCAGGGAGGTCACTTGAAGGTGCCCCGGGGGCAGGGTCCTCTGGGGGACATGCAGAGGGAAGCCTCGGGACAGGTGGGGACAGTGCTGAAAGCTGTGAGCCTTCTGCAGGAGAGGAGAAGGCTGACTCAGCAGTCCTTGCATCTGCAACTGTTTGTCCGAGACCCATGGTTGTTTGTCTGTGTCCATCCTTCCAGCTCTCATTTTCTCTCTGGGTGTCTCATTTCTCTTTGTATCTTCTGTTCCTCCTCTCTTCCTCAGAATGAGAGTATTGTGCTCCTCTTCTTCACGAAGTAGCCTTTCCATTCAAGATGCCTTTAAGGGACACAGCAGTAGACTCCCAGTTAAGCCACGCCACAGGGTCTGCCAAACAGCAGCCCCAGATCAGTCAGAATCACAGCCATCCTGACACCCCTCACCCTACCCTACCCTACCCCCGCCCTTCCCGTGGGCCCCCCCTTCTGAGAGCTGCTGGGCAGTCATACAGGGTGCTTGATAGAGTGTGGACTCTCTGCCCTCCCCCCAACCCCCTCCCCCAGGGACCTGCTCCCCGGGCCTGAGATGCAGCCCAGGCTGTTGCATTTTTAACCAGCACACCAGGTGCTGAGCCAAGCTCATGGACCTTCTGGACCCTGTGCCTTCTATGCTTGATGTGCCGTTGGCCTCCCAGCATGTGCCAGCATCACACACAAATGCCATCTGGCCTGCTAATAAACCTCCGAGAGGCGGCTGCGGCACCTGTGTGTTCCTGCCGATGGCCACACCCCTGTGGCCAGGGAGTCAAGGCCACCTGACTCCTAGTCCCCCCAGCAGCCTGTTGGGGCTTCATTGGGGACCTGCTTTTACTCCCATAACACGCCTCTGGTTTTATCCCAGCAAAGAGGAAAACAAAGGTAGAAATGGTGAGCCCCAGCTGCTCCCTGACTTCATCCTTCCAGGGCTTCGCTCTTAGGGAGGGTCAGGAGACTCCGTGGTCCTGTTCGTCCCGTGCCGAGCCAAGGATTCGGTTCATTGCACACCCCTCCTGCCGGTCTGCTGCCTGCCCGGCCCCGGGCAGGGCTCTGGAAGAACAGCACCAGGGACTGGGGCAGCCAAGGACCATGCCAAAGCCGCTCTGCCTGCTGCTCCAGTTGTCTCTTCTGGAATTTCTCACGTTCAGTTGCCCAGGAATAGGCCCCGCCCATCCCTTACCACTTCTCAGTGGGGTAGAGCCCGCCCTGGTCTTCATGACAGGGCCTGTGTGGTTTGTCATTCTTGGACCGGGCTCCTCGTGGCTTGTGGCACCTCCCCTCACCTCCCCTTTTAGGCCGTAAGAGACCTCCGAGGGACAATGCACAAGACCCACCCACTCTCTTAACCACGGGGGGCCTGCTGTGCCTCACTTCTGTCATATCTGATTGGCCAGAACTTGGTCACTTGTCCCACCCACCCAGCTGCAAGGGAGGCTGGGAAGGGGGCCCAGCTGCGGGCCCAGGGAGCAAAGGAGGATGTAGATCCCAGAGTGCCAGCGGGCTTGGCCCCCATGCAGCCAGCTCGAAGAGGCTCACCCACCGGTCCAAGTTGAGTCTTTCCTTTACTTCTTTTCTGCCATTCCATTACTGTTTCCGCATGGACCTTGTCATGCTGGGCCAATTGGATATTGGGCATTTGGGTATTTTTTTAAATATATCTTCTCGTCCCACCTGCCCCCAGTAGGGTGTGAGCTCCCTTAGAGCAGAAATAAGTGCTGCCTTGCCCACGGTTTTATCCCCGGTGCCCACAGCTGTCTGGCACAAGGTATAGGCACTCGCTGGAACCCTAACCCCGCCACTGCTTCTGTAGCTTTGAGTAAATTATTTAACCTAAGAACTTCAGTCTCTGTGCATGTAAAGTGGTAAGAGCCGTTCTTACCACGCAGGGTTAATGTGCCAGTGAATTAAAACAGTGCTGTGAGTTCCCTAGCGCAGCAGCTGGCATATCCACCGTGGCTGGTGAATGCAGCAATTACTGTGGGATTATGTGCGGAGGCCGTGTCTCCCCCAACATCACAGTAAAATGCTTCCGGGAGGTTCTTGTGTGTCTGCGTGTGCATCTCCACGAGTACATGCCTGCGGTTCCTCTTCCGGGCAGGTGGAGGCTAGAGTCCTCGGGGCTCCCCCTCATGCCTTCTTCTCTCCCTCCAGGCTAAAGTTAAACAGTAAGAGGAACCAGCTGGTGAGAGAACTGGAGGAAGCCACCCGGCAGGTGGCAGCTCTGCATTCCCAGCTGAAGAGGTGAGCGATGGGCAGTGGGGGCAGTGCTGTCCTGGGCAGGCTGGGTGCAGGCGTCCCCCCGATCCACAACGCAGAGAGAAGCCCTCAGGCCCGGGCCTTGGTGGGCAACAGTGGGTCGGAATTTCCTAACATTGGTTTTTGTCAGCCGTTTTAACAGTTGCCTTCTATTTGTAGTAAGTGATACTGCTTTTCATATCACACTCAGGGTACAAAGTTTCCTTTTAAGATGCATGTTAAAGCACAAAAATCTGAGATGATTTGAATTAAAATATGGAGAAGTGTCATTTCAGGCTAAATTCAAATACGGAGAAATATTGTGCAAATGGAATGCAGCCAGCAGAGGTTTTGGGAAACAGGGACATGGGGGAGAAAAATGACCTTTTAAGGCAGTTGGCTTGGGTTCGAATCCCAGCTCTGCCACTTCCTGATTATGGGGCCTTCTCGGTTATCCGTTTCTTCTTCAAGCAAACGGGGGTGCACGGTCCACCCTGGAGACTGTCAGGAGGGTCCAGCAGGATAGTGTACTCTTTGGTACTTCCAGTGCTTCTCAGCACCCGGCGGGAAGTTCCGGCTGCCCCAGCCACCCCTGGTGTCCTCACCCTCCGTCCTCTCCCTGTCCCCAGCCTCTCGAGCAGCATGCAGTCCCTGTCCTCGGGCAGCAGCCCTGGGTCCCTCGCGTCCAGCCGGGGCTCCCTGGCCGCCTCCAGCCTGGACTCCTCCACCTCCGCCAGCTTCACTGACCTCTACTATGACCCCTTCGAGCCACTGGACTCAGACCTGCAGAGCAAGGTGGAGTTCCTGCTGCAGGACGGGGCCACGGGCTTCCGGCCCTCGGGGTGCATCACCACCATCCACGAGGACGAGGTGGCCAAGACCCAGAAGGCAGAGGGGTGTGGCCGCCTGCAGCCCCTGCGCTCCCTGTCTGGCACCCCGAAGTCCATGACCTCTCTGTCCCCCCGCTCCTCCCTGTCCTCCCTCTCCCCGCCCTGCTCCCCGCTCATCGATGACCCCCTCCTGGCTGGAGATGCCTTCCTGAGCCCCCTGGAGTTCGAAGAGCCGGAGCTGAGCGCCACTCTTCGCGAACTGAGCCTGGGCGGCAGCAGCCGGGAGAGGTACCAGCTGGAGGATCCAGGAGCGGAGGCCAAGCAGTTGGGCCAAGGTAGCGAATACCACATCGGGAGGGGTGGGATGGGGTGGGAGCCTTCAGAGGCAGGAAGGTGGGCACGTGGACCCCAGCGATCACTATGGCTGTCACTCACTGACTGCTTTCTGTGTGCCAGCGCTTTACGTGGTTTATCAGTTTATTTATTCATTCAGTAGGTGTTTATGTACTCAATCATGTTCCAGGTCTTTGGCCAAGGGTGTTCCGTGCTGGACTCATTCATTCAACAGATAATCATTAAGTACCTACTAAATCTAAATGGTAGGTCCTGTGATAATGAATGTACAAGGTCCGTTCATTCATTCAACAGGCAGGCCATGGGCCTAAGGCACTGGCTTAGCGACAAGGATGCAGTTCAGGACAGGTCCCTCTTCCCAGGAGCACATGTGTAAATGATGGAGCCTCTCAGGTTGCGTTGCCAGGTTCAATGTCAGGAAGGTAACGTTGAACGGAGGCTTCCACGGTGAGAAGGAGCTGGCCCTGGGAAAAGCAAGAGAAAAATCTCTGAGGCCGGAGCCAAGGGGCTGCAGGAGGGACCAGACATAGGGGGTCACCTTATGTGAGAGGTGACCCCCCCTCTCAAGGGTGGAGAGTCAGGCGGAGTCTGGGTCACGTGAGGCCTGGTGGGCTGTCTGGATTGCATCCTGATTGCACTGGGGACCCGTGTGACTGAAGCCGGGGAATGAAATGGTCCGACTCCCCTTCTGCAAGGGGTTGGCAGGGGCGTGCTGGTGTGAATCGATAGATAGTCGACTTGGCATCTTCAGAAGCAAAGGCGATGCTGAGGGTGACAGCTAAGACTTAGTGAGAGAAAACCAAACAATAAATCATAACCACTAACATTTATTGGGGTGCAAGATGTGGTGGGCCATGTGCTTTGTAGGGTGCAGTGGGTTACTTGTGTTGTGCCCCTTTCACAGATGGAGGAAACAGTGGGTCCGAGGAGGGACACCACTAATATAGGGCGCCTCCCCCCGACCCTAACCGGGAATGCCAAGATTGGATTCTGGGTTCTTCTTACCCGAGAACCCAGCATCCTTGTTGTCACACCCCTCAGGGTGCGAGCTAGCCCGGCGCGGTCACTCCCAGGACACTCCTGGTGCTCTCTGCCCCACCATGCCCATCTGGCCCTGGGTGTGCAGGTCCGGACCCAGCAGGGTGCTCAGTAAGCTCACCTGGGGCTCTGGCCTTCTCAGCTGTGACTTAACTGAGTATAGGTATACAAGACCCTGTACTTGGTACCAAGTACTTGGTTTTGTGTGTGTGTGTGTGTGTGTGTGTTTAAGATTTTATTTATTTATTTTTAGAGAGGGAAGGGAGGGGTGGAGAGTGAGAGACAGAGAGAGAGAGAGAAACATCAATGTGCAGTTGCTGGGGGCCATGGCCTGCAACCCAGGCATGTGCCCTGGCTGGGAATTGAACCTGCGATGCTTTGGTTCACAGCCTGCGCTTAATCCACTGAGCTACGCCAGCCAGGGCTGGTACCAGGTACTTGTATACCCAGAATACAAAGTACTGTCATGCACATTCACTCATTTAAGGTGAGTGCTGCTTTATCCCCTTAACGTAGATGAAACAAGTGAGGCATTGTGGTAATAAATAAATGACTTGTTTAAGGTCAGTGTCACAGCTAGGAAACGCACAGTCAGGGTTGGTGCCAGGCCTGCCGCCCAGAACCCACAGGAAGGCCTGTGCCTGCCGCAGGCCCCCACTCCCGTCCCCTTGTGTGGCCAGCTGGAAGCTGGACCCACTTCAGCGGCGAGCTACAGGAATGGGCAAGAGGGCCCACTCGTGCTGTGCTGGTCAGAATGACCCACTCGTGTGCAAGAAAGGGCCAGTGGTCGCAAGGGGGGAGTCTGGGGTTTCCAGGTTAATTAAAGGCTCTGCTGCGTGCCTGCCAGCCATTGCCTTAGATGCGGAACCGAGAGATCCCCGGGGCCTCTCATCAGGAGGGGAGTCATGCTGAGCACTCGCAAACAAAAATAAAAACAGGCTCCCTACTACAGCAGGTGGCAGACTTCAGAAAATTGCTCCCTGGAGACAGGGAGGTGCAGGTGGAACCTCCGATGAGATGCCACCCAAGGGTGGCGTTAAAATAAGCCTGGGATCCTCGGACCCCAGCTGGGTGCCAGGAGCGACTCCACTCCTCTCCCCTGCAGCGTCCTCGGGGCTGAGGGCCAGAGACAGCGTGTCTCAGGGTGGCGTTTCCCTCCTGCCACCTCCAGAACCTCCCTGCAGTGACGGATGCCGGGCTGAGCGCAGACGCTAAGCAGGCTATGCGATTAGTGCTGCTGTTCAGTCAGCAGACAAATTAATCTCCTGAAGTGGTTTAGTGGAAGGTGGAGAGGTGGGGGCCCGGGGGCAGGAGGCCTGCAGGCTGCAGCAGGCGTGGGACCCGGGCTGGGAAAGCCGTGCCCAGGTGGCCGCTTGCATCCCCCAGTCTCCTGGCAGGGACATCCCTCCCCCCAGCCTGCCCACCCCTGGTCTCTTCTCCAGTCTGCGCCCAGTGCCTGGCACGTAGCAGGTGCTCAGTAGGGCTGGCCGGGAGGTCAGGGGACCTGAATGTGGCCTTTCCTACTGCGCAGAGGGCAGGAACTGTGTCCTGTTTGTCTTGGTGGCTCTGAACTTGGCAGTGGGCCTGGCACGCCGTTGGCATCTGTGACTCGGGGCAGCATGCACTGAGTCCCGGGTTGGAGACTTTGGAGGGTCTCCGTCAAGGGCAGGGAGGTGAGCCGAGGCGAATGGAGCGGGGATAGGCTGAGTGGGACGGCCAGTGCTCTGGTCTTTCCTGTCCCTCCCCTCGCCCTTCCTGAGGGCCCAGGGGCTGTTACTGTGCCCCAGTGGTGCAGGGATCCTTCTGGAAGGCACGGGATGGCATCACAGTGAGGACAGTGGTCATGGGTTTCATAGAGCACTGTCCCCACCAGTCTCTATGCCACCAGCTCCCCTGTCACGTCTCATGGAGTCCCCCCAGCAGCCGTCCAGGGTGAGTGTTCTCCCCGGTTTACGGAGGAGGAACCGGGGCTTACAGAGGTTACATCACTGTCCCAGTGTCTCGAAGCCGTGATGGTGGAGCTGAGATTCGAACCCAGGCAGGCCGGCTCCAGAGTCTGGGGTGTCAAACACAGGATCAGACACTGCCCTTTCTTCACCCCGAGGCAAGGCAGGACCTGGCTGCCGAGTTCAGAGGTGGTCAGAATTGGTTGGGACCGACGTAGGGCAGAAGATGGGTGGAGCCCTGGCTGGTGTAGCTCAATGGATTGAGCAGGGCTGCGAACCAAAGAGTCGCAGGTTCGATTCCCAGTCAGGGTACATGCCTGGGTTGCAGGCCATGACCCCCAGCAACCGCACATGGATGTTTCTCTCTCCCTCTCTCTCTCCCCCCTCCCTTCCCTCTCTAAAAAATAAATTAAAAACATCTTTAAAAAAAAAGGATGGATGGATCTGAAGCGTGTGTTGCAAAGAACAGCACCCTGGTTTCTGAACCTCACCTCACCACCCTTTTCCCACCTCTTCCTCCAGCTGTGAATGCGGCCCAGGGGTGTGGCCTCAAAGCGGCCTGTGTCTCGGCTGCGGTGTCGGATGAATCCGTGGCCGGGGACAGTGGTGTGTACGAGGCTTCAGTGCAGAGGTGGGTCCCCAAATCCTGGATCTCTGGGAGCTCTGAATCTGCATACTCTGGGTCCCCATGGTGTGTGGGAGGGACCTACAGGAGGGCATGTCCGGGGGACCCCACCTTCCCCCAGGAGCCCTGTTGGAGCCTGTGCCAGACAGGCAGACAGCGCAGCTCCTCCTGCAGCCAGGGTGCTTCAAATTCGGGAGAGCCCTTGTGTCCTGGCTGCCATCGAAGGGCGTAAAGCTAGGGCAGTACGTGCTGGAGAAAAGGGAGCCCCTTCAGGAGAGGGATCTGGAGCAGGTGTGGGAACACGGGGTCTGCGGGGAGGCTGAGCAGGCCCCCCACGCTCTCCCTCGCTGGGAGCTGCCCATACCTGCCCCGACAGAACCCAGGCCCCTGCAAGGAATTGTGACCGCCTTTCTCTCCCCTGTTGCCTTCCAGACTCGGTGCTTCGGAAGCCCCTGCGTTCGACGCTGACGAATCAGAAGCAGTGGGAGCAACCCGGGTTCAGATTGCCCTGAAGTAAGTCACCGGGCGGTGGGGCCAGAGGGGAGTGGTCCGTACAGGGTCTCTTCCTCGGGGGCAGCGGCTTCCAGGCAGCTGTGGGCTCCTCATTAAAAGGGGGCCAGCTCTTCCCCTACCTCCCAGCTCCCCATTTTACCGCACACAGAGAACAGTGAGGTTTTAGAGACCTTGTTACTTGCCCCAACTCACTGAGCGGGCCAGTGGCAGGGCCAGACCGTGACGGAAACCTCCTGCCTCCCGGTCTGTGTGGTCATCGCTCCCGTCACTTTTGTCTCATCATTTTCTCCGGGGTGCAGTGGCCTGGACCAAGGTCCACCCCTGGTGGCCGCAACCGTGATCTGTTGTTTTTTCTCAATGAAGGATGGCCTCAGTATTTCTTTGATAGGAATCAATTGCCAACAGTTAAACATCAGGAAACTTTACACAAACTTCTGGCCTTTCTTTAAAAATGCAGACAGGTAGCTCCTATCTTCCTGAACAGCAGCAAAGCATGGGGCCTGTGTGCTCCAGCACAGCCACCTCCGCCACTATGAAGAGGGAGATCAGCGCGTCACTAAATGCTGCTGCATTTGCTCCATTTGACCCCCTTTTCTTCAGGTATGACGAGAAGAATAAGCAATTTGCAATATTAATCATCCAGCTGAGCAACCTTTCTGCCCTGTTGCTGCAACAAGACCAGAAAGTGTGAGTATGCAGAGCTGACGGGGTGGGGGATCAGCCCCCCTGCGGCCTCCCCGGGGTGCCTCTCCTGCCCAGTCCTGCTCAGACAGTGGGCCCCGTGAGCCCACTGTGGGTGTGGCGTGCCTGTGACCATGGGGCAGAGTACCAGCACAGTGAATGTGGGTACAGGCATGATGGCCAATGCGCCAACTGTACCGAGAAGCACTCTGCACGGCCTTTCCTCCACGAGTATGTACTGAGCACCCACCACGTGCCAGCGTGCAGAACAGGGTAGGGAGCAAATCCCTGCCGTGTGAGCTTGGAGCCTCGTGAAGAAGGTGGTCGTGGGTCCTTTTATCTAGGCTCCAGTGTTCCATGCAGAGAGAGACAGGTCTGCCGTTCTCGAGAGTGGGCACCGGTCCCTGTGCTTCTGTTGGAGGGTGTGGTGGGGGGGCACCCTGAAACTGGTCACACAGCACATACCTGCGCCGTCTGCCCACTGGCACTTCTCCTTGCCGACCGAGTTTGTGTTTCATTGAGCTCACCCGCCTGCTGGTCTCCTTTCACGATGCTGTCGGCCTTGGCGACAGCAGCAGGAGCTTGTATTTCCGTGGTCTGCGCCCTGCCAGCTTCCCGGGTGCAACACGTGGAAAGGAGGAAGGGAAGGGGAGAGGCGGCCAAACGGAGGGAAAATGAGCTAAGACATGGGGGTGTGATCTGTCCCAGGCCCGCCCATGCAGCGCCAGGATGAATAACCTTCACAGCTCACTGGTGCTCCTGCTGGGGCGTCCGTGCCAGTGCCTAGAGGCGAGCTGTCTAGGCCAAAGGGTAAAGGCACCTGTGATTTTTTTCAGATTGTCACTTTCCCCTCCGCAGGGGTCGTCCCACCCTGCCTTCCTACCAGCAACTGTAGGAGGGCTCTTCAGTGTCAACACGCAGCCTTGCCAATCCTTCTGCACACACTTTGCACACTGCTGGCCTCAGGCTTCAAGCACTTTGAGATTCTAAGGGTTCAGGGGATTCAGGAGAAGGAACAGCTGTGTGTCATCCTTAGGGGCCCTTCTGCATCCTTCATACAGGATGTGTGACGATTTGAGAAATGACAGACCTGGTCCAGCCTTGTTTCCTTGGGCATCCCCACCATCCGGGTCAGCCCAACACATCCACTCCAGGCCCGGGCTGACCCGGGCCCCCCTGCATTTGTCTCCCTCCAGCAACATCCGTGTGGCCGTCCTCCCCTGCTCCGAAAGCACCACCTGCTTGTTCCGGACGCGGCCCCTGGACGCCTCGGACACCCTCATATTCAACGAGGTGTTCTGGGTGTCCATGGCCTACCCAGCCCTTCACCAGAAGACCTTAAGAGTCGACGTCTGTACCACCGACCAGAGCCATCTGGAGGATTGCCTGGTGAGGGCCCTGTCTGTCTGTCCATCCGTCCCACCTTCTGTCCTCCTGGCACTGCAGGAAGAAGAGATGGTAGGCTCATCTGCACTGTTGGGCAGACTCTTCCCACAGGCCAACAGACCTACTGGGGGGCAGGGGAGCTCATTTCACAGGAGAAAGAGTGACAGGCCTGAAAGAGTGTGTGTGTGTGTGTGTGTGTGTGTGTGTGTGTGTTTAAGGATAAATCATGGTTGGTTGGTTGGTTGGTTTTAAAGATTTTTTTATTTTTAGAGAGGGGTGAGGGAGGGAGAAAGATAGGGAAAGAAACATCAGTCTGTGGTTGCCTCTTTGCGCCCCCTACTGGGGACCTGGCCCACAACCCAGGCATGTGCCCTGACTGGGAATTGAACCGGCAACCCTTTGGTTCACAGGCCGGCATCCAGTCCGCTGAGCCACAACAACCAGGGCTGAAAGTGTTTCTTAAAACGTCAGAACTGGGAAGATAACTAGCCACACGCTCTGGCTTTCCCCACAGCATTACAGGAGAACAAATACACAGGGGCTCAGCTCCCACCCTTACCCCTCACTGTGTAGCTGGGTGGCCTTGGGCGAGTTACTTAACTTCTCTGATCCTGTTCTCTCAGCCATAAAATGCAAGCGACAACGCCCCCATCGTGTCCACTAGAAGAATCGTTACAAGGATTAAATGAGACAGTTTGTGTAAAGCACCTACTCAGATGTCTGGCACACAGTAGGTTCTTATTGGATGGGGCCGATGCTGGTCCCCTCCCTGGAGGAAGGCTTCTCTTCCTCCTCCTCTACACATTGGCAGGAGTCAGGATTGGAGATGACGTAGCCCTGGCTGCATTTGTGTCCCAGGAAAGCCGCTCCCTTAGGGACAGGCGACCCAAGTGCATGGAGATGCTGCTTACTTAGCCTCCTCATCGGTGAGGTGGGGGTTTGTTGCCAACCCAGGGGCTCGCTGTGATGCACAGGTGAGGTAAAAGAAGCGAAGGGCCGTGTTAGCCCCGTGCCATTCAGAGTTCCGAGCACGGGAAGAACAACTCAGTTGTGGGCACGGACGGACGTGGGCTTTATACCCAGAAGGTTGCTCCGCCCACTGTCCTCTTCCCTGAGACCCTGTGGGGCGATGGGGGTGCTGTGGGGAGCCAGGTAGACAGGGTACCAGTTTTGACTGCCAGCACGTAAACTACTGAGGGTCCGTGATGCACAGATGAGGACCATGTTGGAGGTGACAGGTTGAGGTCGCAGAGGAAAACACGGGCACAGGCAGAAGAGGAAAATGGGGCGTGTGCACCTCCTAACCCTACAAAAGCTGGGGAGTGTCGGCAGCGTGGCTGTCCTGCTTGTGGGCGGCGGCTGGTCTCCTTCCTCCTGGTGCGAACCACAAGCCACAGGCCTCGGCCCCTGCTGGGGAGGGACCCTGATGTGCCTGTGCTGTAAAACCCCGTCTGCCGTGGAATCGTGGGGCGGACAGACAGGGTTTTGTTCCCTCAGACAAGTCAGTCCTCAGTCTCCGTTTTTGTATCGGACAGGTGGGTGGGTGGTTCCCTTTGGGTTAAGTGAGGCACTTAAGCAGCGCTTCCCAAATTTATGAGACGCACACATGCGTTAGCTGGGGCTCTGGTTAGAGTGCAGTTTCTGGTTCAGCAAGTCCGGGGTGGGGCCCAGGGTTCTGCATGTGTAACACGCTCCCAGGTGGTACCGATGCCGCTGTGCCCCACAGCAAGGATGCAAAGCAGTGAGGAGCCTGCGCTGGGTACCGTTTCCTCTCCCTCCTTGGTTGGGGGACATCACTGCATCTGCTGCTGCTGTTATGCTCAGTTACTGACCGTTATGCAGTTTAGGCGGCAGGCCCTGAGCTAAGCTCTTTACAGGTATTTTCTCTGTTGATCCTCACCAGTCTTACAAAACAGGTTCTGTTATACCAGTGAGGAAACCGAGGCACAAGGAGGAGGTAGAACTTTCTCAAGGCCACACAGACAGGAAGTGGCAGGCGCAGAGTGACAACCCAGGGTGGGCCCGCCTCTGCAGCCCACCCAGGTCACGCCCCAGGTGCCAGCTCGGTGCTCCCTGGAGCCCACAGGTTGGGTGGTGACGGAAGGTGCCTCCAGCGTGGAGGGCACCGAAGGGCAGAGCAGAACGGTTTCCACACCCAGGGTCCCCCAGTGAAGAGCGTCCTGAGCCCTGGCCATGCTTACACAGGAAGGGACTCTATCTAATTGTCTCCAAATTGGATGCCTTTTATTCCTCCTCCCTCATTGAAGTCTGGACGTTGCTGGTTGCCATGGCAGCAGCCAAGCACTCATCCCACTGTGGCTTGTCTCCATTCGTGGCCAATGGGAGACCTACTTCTCTGAATCCCGGGGGGGTGTGGAGTGTCAGGCTGTTGTGTCATGGTGGCTGGAGGAGGTGAGACAGGAGGAAAAAGGGCTGTCGGCCCCTCCTCGGAGGCGCCCTCGCTGCTGCGTTTGTGGAGTCGGTCCCTGGTCTGCTCTGAGCTGTTGCAGCAGCCAGGCAACAGCGTGCCCGTCCTGGGCGTGCCTGTGTGTCTAGCCCTGGGCGAGGAACTTTGCATGCAGTATCTCACTTAATCCTCACAGCAGCCCTAGGAAGGAGCATTAGGGTCACCGCCCTTTGACAGGTGAGGGGCGAAGGCCCCCAAGGGCTCAGTAACCTGCCTGGGTCATCCAGGGAATAGGTGGAGAAGCCTGGAGGGATCACAGATCCCACGTCCCTTGTGCAAAGCCATTGCAGTACCCCACCTCTCACAGCATTACTGTGAGTGTCTCTCGTGTCCCCAGACCTAGACGATGGGTTTGGAGGAAAGCCCCGGCATCACAGGCAGTGGTTCCGTCAGGTGCTTTAGTGCAGCAGAACTGGTCTTTCTTTTCCTCGCAGTGCATGAAGTTAAATAGTATACTTTATAATAATTGATGGCATCTTAGATCTGATGTAACGCGCTTTGGAATTTACTTACGGATTTGTTTCTCTGATTCCCCTAGACTGGAATAGAATAAGCTCATGAACGTAGGGATTTTCCACTGCCCTAAACCCTGCCGTATCCCCGGCACCCAGAGCAGTGCCAGGCACATAGAGGCGACTCGGCAGATAGATATGTGTTGAAGGAATGAATGAATGCGTAAATGCCCTCCGGGCGCATCCATTTCACTGAGAGAGATCGCATTCACTTCCGTAAACCAGCCCAAAGTAGGCAGTGGAACTCGTTGAAATAAACAGTAGTCTGATGGCCGCGTTACCTCGCAGAGCTGTGGTTACATTCATTCCTCCTTGCCCCTCACACGTGTCCTGGCATATTCTGAACTACAACATCTGACGTGTTTGTCTCCCCGGGACACCCGGGGGCGGAGTCATGTCGTACATGTTTCTGTGGCTCCAGAGTCTGCGCCGGGCTCAGTGAACATTAAATGAATAAATGAGTGCCATGCACATTTGTGGGTGTATTTACCTGCATTCTAACGGCCTACAACATGCCAGGCATTTAATGCAGTGCCTGAATTGACTCAGGTCCCCCCAACAGCTCTGCAGGGAGGAGTTGTTTCCCGGTTTTCCAGACGAGGAAGGCGGTGCAAGTAAGTGTGTGTGTGTGTGTGTGTGTGTGTGTGTGTGTGTGTGTTTTCTCCCCTACTCACAGTCGTTCCTCTAGAAATGACTTTTGTCCACATGGGCTCAGCCCAGTCCACGCCATGCTCTGGCGCATCCTGATAGAAGGAAAAACTGGAAGAAAGGGTCCCGGCGGTACCCCCTCTTGTCCCAGGTGCCATCTGGAGCCATCACTGGGCCGCTGGCCCACTTCGCAAACTGGCTCGTCCTCCCGCCCCGCATGGGCACAGCCCCTGTGGTGTTCTGGGAAAGCAAACAAGCTAAACTCCAAACCTGGTCGGAGCTCAGCAAAGACTACGTGCTGAAACTGTGAGACCACTGAGAATTGATTGATGAAGTTATTTTCTAGTTCTTTCCACGAAGGACAGATAGTAAAAATGTGGTAAAAATACTAGGTCACCGGAAGTAAATCCTTTCTCTGTGAGGTTATATTAGGTTACCTTGTCGTTGCTCATTTTACTCTTGAAGGATCTGTTTACGTGATTCAAAGAAAAGTTGTTCAGAAAGGTTTACTACGGAGAGATCCTGTGTCTCCACCTTGCCCACCCCACTCCCACCACCCTACCTGTCTAGGTAACCACTCGGATTTGTTTCTTCTCTGCCTTTCCTTTATTTCTTGCTGTGCATATGATCACGTGACCGTGTTCACTCTCCGTCGTACCTCAGATATGGGGCAAATAGAGAGAAAATATATTCTTACCCCTCTCCCCCATTTTTTGTACAAAATGTGGCATACTCTGTGTTCTGTTCTGCACTATCCTATTTTTCCCCTTAACATCCAGCCTGGGAGTCTCTCCATATAAGCTTAGAGATAAACATTTAATAAATGTTTGGCAGTGAATGAGTAATTAGTGAATGAGTGATTGTTGGAAACGATTCACAGCGAGCCCTCTCCTCCTCCCCGGAGACATCCACCTCACCTGCAATGGTGTTTCCCGTACTTCCTGCAGGAGCCAAGCTCCCCAGATCTCCTGGTCAGCCCCGCTGATGACTCTCCCTTTTCCCGTCCTCTACAGGGAGGCGCCCAGATCAGCCTGGCTGAGGTCTGCCGGTCTGGGGAGAGGTCGACTCGCTGGTACAACCTCCTGAGCTACAAATACTTGAAGAAACAGAGCAGGGAGCCCAAGCCAGGGGGAGCCAAGGCCCCCGCCCCAGGGCCGGAAAGCACGGTGAGCAGGACCACCTCCTGCGCCGGCTGCGCCCAGGCTGGGCGGGAGGAACGGGCTCTCCCAGAACTGGAGGCGGAGAAGGAGGTGGAGCGGAGGGGTGGGGGCAGACGGGGGAAGAGGGCAAAGCAGGGGAGAGCTCTGTAAGGGGCTCGTAGCCCCACCTGCAACTTTCTCCTTCCCAATGGTGCTCTCCCCCTCCGTACTTTGTTTGACCTGCTAGAATTCGCCTGATGAAAACCTTTATTCACTTTTAAACAGTGAATGGGGGAGGAGGACATAGAAAACTGAGCAAGGCAGAAAATGAACCTTTATTGGGACCCTGCTGTGTGGCTCGTGGTCCACCGTGGAGGGAGGCTTTCCATAAGAGGCGGAGGGAAGTCGGGGGAGGACAGCCAGCAGGCGGGTGTTTCTTAGCTGGGAACCCTCCCAGGCAGGGACCACTCCTCTCCCCTCCCAGCCTTCAGTCTTCACGTCGAATCTGACTCTGAGGTGGTTGTTAGGGAGAAGCGCGTGTGGGGAGCGCTGGGCAAGGGCCTGATAAACGGTATCCGTTTCATTATTCTTCTTGACAGTCTTACCCTGGCCCATTTTTGGTTAAAAAAAAAACAAACCACATATTTTCATTGTAGTGCCGCACACCTGAACCTGGTAAATGTCCTTACACTGCCTTCTGCACTTTCAAAGCCCACATCTGGTGGCTGAGGAGACTGGCCAGGGCAGTCTGCTGAGCAGTGAAGTTGCCCTTGAGCACAGAGTGATGCAGCGTATGGGGTCCTAATGGCACCCCCAGAGAGAGTGTTAGGGGTTCAGGTAGCCGGTAAATCTCTAGTGCTCCTTCCCTCCGCTCGGACGGTCACTGCCCAGATTCTCAGTGGAGGGGACAGGCTAGCTCTCACAGGGAAGGGTAGGGTTAAGGGTTAGATCTATTTCTTTCTCCTCTTCCTCCTTCTTTTTCGTCATCATCATCATCACCATCATTTTCTGTACTTCGTTTTATGGGAGGCATTGCCCCGTCCATCGTGTGCGGTTTACCGAGGCTCAGGAAGCTCACCTGAGGATGGACATCTAATAAACAGCAACTCTACGTCTCAAACTCAGGTTTCCCTCGCTCCAAAAACGTAACAATGAGCTGGCAAAAGTCTTTATAAAGGAAAAAGAAAAAGTCCCCACTACTTCCTAGAGCGTGTGCTTGGATAAGCCGCATCAACCTCAGGCACATTGGTTTTCTTCTTCCCATTTCTCAAGGGAAGAGTCACGGTCTCCCCCTACCAGGATGGGGGAAGGATTCAGGGAGGTGGGACCCATGAGCCGTTTGGTGTCTTGGCTTACACCAGGCCTTCTGCTGATTTTAGTCCCGCCCCCCTTTCCCCAAAAGAAAATCTGGCTTTACCCCACCACGGGCATTTGCACATGAACCCAGCGCCAAGAAAAAGTCAGTTTTGCTTTGCTATTAGCTGCCATTTACTGAGTGCCAGTTATGCACTAGGTACTCTTCTGCATACCTTATGTGTATAATCTTCCTAACAACCCTTTGTAGTAGGTATTATAGGAAACGGAATCTCAGGTTAAATAATTTCCTCAACTCACACTAGCTTTTTCACTGTAGACACCATTCAGTATACATGTTCTTCCTCCAGGAAGCCTTCCTTGAATGCAACCAGCTAAGCTTCTGTTCCCAAACATCAATACCCTAACCTCTGGCGTAGTCCCTCTCACATTGTTTTGATATCAGTGGTTCATGCGATTGGTCTCCCTGATGCCCTGTGATCTCCTGACAACCGGAGACCTAGAATTCTGTCTCACTCAGCTGCTGAACTTGGCTGTCTGCCCAAACTGTCCACTCTTACCAGGGTTATTCTCAGGAGAACTGCTAGTTTAGAAGAGCTAAGCACCGTATTTCCAACATTTAAGTGGCCTTGAGGCACGATGCTCACCCAGTTTCACCCTCAGTTCACCGGGAGGGTCACACGCGGAGCAGCCCTGACTCTTGCCGGGAGGGGCTGCGCCCGTGGTGTGCCAGCGAACCCACCAGCCTCGATCTCCGCAGGACGCCGTGTCTGCTCTGCTGGAACAGACCGCCGTGGAGCTGGAGAAGAGGCAGGAGGGAGGGAGCAGCACCCAGACCCCGGGAGACAGCTGGTAAGTGAGGGCTCCCTGGGGCCCCAGGAACTGATCTGCCTTGGATCTGGGCCCGGGCCGGACGTGGGCTCCCTGATGCTGGAGCAACCGGGAGATGGGTACCCACGGGAAAACCAAGAAACTGTTTCCTTACGGGTTCTCTGCAGGCAGCAGGGCAGTATGTGGCCTGGCACTCTGGCCCCCCATTTGTCATTTCCTGTTCTATGAATCACTCGTGCTAGTTCACTTCTACTGTTAGTTTGTCTCGATAGGCTTAAAGCTGAAGAAGCTTGCCCTGCGGGTGGCTCAGTTGGTTAGAGCGCTGTCCTGTACACCGAAAGGTTGCAAGTTCGAGCCTCGGTCCAGGCACATATGGGAGGATCGGTGTTTCTCTCGTGTGGATATCTCTCTCTCTCTCTCATCCCCCCCTTCTTCTCTCTCTAAAATCAATAAATAGATCACAGATCCTCAGGTGAGGATAAAAATCTAAAGAGGAAGCTTCCTCAGTGTTTCAGCTAGTAGTGAAGACTCTCCCCGTTGGAATCTGGCGGGCAGCGCAGTGGGGACAGCTTTCCCGTTGTGCAGCTCAGGGCTCCTTAGCCCTGGCAGCCCCACAGAAAGGTCTCTCCCACCTGAAGGAAACGGTGGTGTAGATGGGGATTCAAATCTGAGCTTCATTGTTTGTTTGTTTTATAACCTTGGGCAGAGTACTTCTCACGTTTTACTGCAGGATAGCTCGCCTATAGCAAAGTCCACCTATGCGGCTCGTACAACAGAGCTGAGTTTTCAGAAACTGGACTTCCCCACAGAACCAGCCGATTCCATCTGGGCAGTGACTGCAGCCTGTGAATGAATCTAGCCCCTGGGGCGGAGGTCTGGTTGGGCTTCGGGGCACATGCTCCAGATCCAGACAGATGGGGATTGCTCAGCCCATGTCCTGTGGGATCCTGGGCCTGGGCCGTTCCGAGGTGCAGCCTGGGCTGAGAACCGCGGCTCTAAGCCTCCGCTTCCTCATCTGTAAAACTCCGTCTTAAAAACCAGCCACTGCGCACGGGTGTTTTCTAGGCTCGATGTCACCATGCATGCTGAGCACTTAACACAGACCGTGCCCCTCGGGAAGTGCTCAGTGATGCTTCTGTATTCTTCTGTGACGGCCCCGAATTACACATCTGATCTCCAAAGGAGTCTTTCCTTAGTACCTGCCACTCCACGTTTGCTTTCTGCTTTGTGGGCCTTACAGAGTCTGTGGCGTCTGCTTGACTCGGCCGTTTCAGGGTGAAAACAGCCAGAGGTGGCACCCACACCAGCCACCATGTCCCTGCCCCTGGAACTGTGACTCCGGGCCCTGGAGTTGGAATTTCACATCATTTGCATGTCAGGAAATAATCATTCTTTTGATTTTTTTCCCCAGCCATTTAAAAAGATAAAAACCATTCATAATTTGGACTGTCCACTGGTTCACCCCTCTCTGAGTCTCCTTGACAGTTCCTGAATGTTTGTATTTTCACCTGTTTATTTTAGGGTTTTCTCAAAATTGTCTGCATTCCTCTCTTCCCCCCGCCCCCCACATCCCATCTCCCTCCCTCCCGGTCCCTGCTCCTCTCTCTCTCCCCCCACCTCCCTGTCTTCCTTCTTTCTCCCCCCCTCTCTCCTCTCCAGCACACGGCTGGGCCCGGCTGGGATCCACACAGGCAAAGCTGTGATGCCGGAAATCGGCCTCGGACCTGTCTTCCAAAACCCTGGCACAAGATCACTGGTTTTCCCCAAATTCCAAGCCTGTGTTGAGACTTTTCACGCCATTGCCTAGCAACGGCCTTCTGTTCTCTCTCCCTTTGTGGCCCCCTCTCTCCCCACCCCTGGCCATTCAGACTTCCCTAGACACTGACTGACAAAGAGGGCCGAGGAGCCCAGAGCGGCTCTGCTGGGGGAAATCCATCAGCGGCCCCGCCCCCAGGCCGCAGGCTTCTTTGGGTCCTGGAATGTTAACTAGCCTTGCGGGCGCGCTCGGCTCTGGCGTCCTATGCCGGGGCCTCCAGAAAGCCAGCCCTGTGTTCTGATCCATGCCCCTCCTCCTCCAGCACCCAAGGCCCGGGGTGTCATTGTCTTGCCCCCTTTTTTAGTCTGGTTAGGTTTCTGTTAGTGCATATATAATCAGAAGACTGGATTTATTTTTTTTTTTTTAAGATTCAAAAGCAAAAGCCCTGGCTGGCGTAGCTCAGTGGATTGAGCGCGGGCTGCGAACCAAAGCATTGCAGGTTCGATTCCCAGTCAGGGCACATGCCTGGGTTGCAGGCCACAGCCCCCAGCAACCGCACATGGATGTTTCTCTTTCTCTCTCTTTCTCCCTCCCTTCCCTCTCTAAAAATAAATAAATAAAATCTTTTTTTAAAAAATCAACTGATAGGCTTACAACATTTCCTTGTAGGTTACTATCTCTTTTTTTTTTAAAAAAGGGGCAAAACAAAACCCTAAAAGTACGAAACAGCAGGGGAGAAATAGAATCACAAACAACACTAGTGTGGAAATCCTGGTGTCGGCCTCCTTGGGAACTGGCGTGCATGTCTAGGGCTGATGCTGAGAAGTGGGGTGGCGGAATAGCCCGGCAATACGACTGCACTGGTCCATGCTCCCACCGGCCGGGCTTGCGAGGCCCCCTGAACCCGCACCCTCTCTGACATCCACGTGACCCAACTACGTCGCTCACTCAGCAGTGCGTATCTGTTCTAGCGCAGCAGGCTCTGCTCCTGACCTCAGAGGATGAGTCAGATGCTCTGACTGATGCCCCGCAGGGATCAGCCTGTTCCCCAGACCTTCCCCAGCCCATGGGATTGTCTGGTATTTCTTTTTTGGGCACTCCAAAGGGTAAAAAGGTGTCCATTCAAAATATTTTTTCTTTGCAGTTAGAAGTGTTTTGTTTTTTGTTTTTTGTGTCCTTTCTGGAAATGTGTAGATCAGATTCACAGTCCAGAAGAGGAGATTTCTGTAGTGGCTGAGCACGTAGCGGACGTGGGCACACTTGGGTGGGAATCCAGGCCGTGCCACTTAGCAGCCCTGGATTGTGATGCTGGACAAACACTCCCAGCTCCCTGATCCTCAGCGTTTCGGTCCATAAAACACACAATAATGGCCTGCCACGCTATCATAAGGCCTGAGCAGAGCACCTGGAGCTTATTAAGCCCCCTGTAAGTGCTGGTTCATGTGGCGTCTGCCGGATGCTTAGGGAGGGGCTCCTTGCATGTTCCCATGTTTCATGTCTCTTACAAGGGGACAGACAGACAGACAGACTGGAGTGCGAAGGAGGCATAGCAAAGCCCCCGGCACTGCCAAGCCCCCATCGAAGTGCAGAGGAGGCTTTAATCATGGGGCTGGGCGTAGGGATCCAAGATACATCCTCCGCACTGGGAAAATCCCAAGGGAGACTTCTATGTTTCTCCACCGTCTCAAGGAACCAGCTAGAGATGTCAGATTTTCTGCTCCCGGCTGGTACTCCGCCTGCTCCGTGTGGTGACGCTGTCGCACGCTGATCAGAAGCCTGGCGGTGATGTGTGTCTTTGAGAAGGAAAGATGGGATTGGAGATAAATTACTAATTAACAGATCCAGCCCATTTGTCGCGGCAACTCCTTCCAGCCATGGAGCCTGTGGGGAAAGGATCATTCTGAGGAGTATCAGCGAAAGTAAAATTTCTTCAGCCGGCACCGCTGGAACAATTGAATATCCACACAGAGAAAAAACAGACTGTGAGCATCACATACAAAAATTAATCTGGAATGGACTGTGGGGCTCAGCATTTAAATCTGAAACTATAAAACTCCTAAAAGAAAATATAGGAGAAACATTTTGCAACATTAGGGTAGCAGACATTTCTTAGATAGGATGTAAAAAGCACAAACCATGAAAAAAATGGGGTAAATTGGACTTTCTTACGATCAAAAGCCTCTGTTCTTCGGAACACACCATTTTAGAAAATAAAATGTCAAGCAACAGACTTGGGGAAAGTATTTGCAAAGGATTTATATCCGGAGTATGTAATGAACTCTTATAACCCAGTAATCGAAAGGCAACCCAGTTTTTAAATGGGCTACAAAGCCTCTAACAGACGCTTTGCAAAAGGAAAACATATGGGTGCTCCATGAAGGCATGAGAACAGTCTCAAAGGGAAAGTGCAGATTACAAACCACGGTGAGATGTGGGTAGACACCCAGAAAAATGACCACATTTCAAGACCAAGTCTAGACGAGGAACTGGAGCTCTCAGAACGTTGCTGGTGGGAGTGTCAAGCAAGCGGCACACCCCTCTTGGAAACCAGTCTGTCAGTTGCTTCAAAGGATAAACTCGTACTTACTGTGCGACCCAGCACTTCCACTTGTAGGTATAATGCACTGTGAGGGTCTGAATTGTGTCCCCTGCAAAATTCACGCATTGAAGCCCTGGCCCCAGGACCTCCAAATGTGACTGTAGTTGGAGATAAGAACCTTAAAAGGTGATTAAGTTAATGCGAGGTCGTTAAAGGTATGGTGGGCCCTAATCCGATAGGACTGGTGTTCTTGTAAGAAGAGGACATTTGAAGACTTATATAAGAGAGACCTCAAGGATTTGCAGACAGAGGGAGGACTGTGTGAGGACACAGCAAGAAGCTGGCCATCTGCAAACCCCAGGGAGAGGCCTTAGGAAGCCAAAGCTGCCCACACCTTGATCTTGGACTTCTAGCCTCCAGAGCTGCGAGAGATACATTTCTCTTATTTTCCACCACCCAGCATTGTTGAAGCAGTTCAGGCAAATTAATATAATATCCATGAGAAATGAAAACTTATTATCTATGTGAATGTCTGTAGAAGCTTTATTTACAATTGCTAAGAAATGGAAACCGTTCGAACATTCATCACCTACTGAAAAGCTAAACAAATTATGGTTTGTCCATCCAGTGGAATATTACTCAGCCATTAAAAAGGAGTGAACTGTTAATGCTACAATCACCAACATGGATGAAGCTCAGAAACCTAATACTGAGAAAATGAAGCCAGAGACCCCCTCCCCCCGCAAAAAAAAAGCACATACTGTCTGATTCTATTTCTATGAAATGCTAGAAAACTCAGATTTCATCTGTAGTGACCGAAAGCTGATTGGTGCTGGGCTGGGGACGGTGGGAGATGAACTGAGAAAGGGGATGAGGGGACCTGCTGGGGTAACGGAATGGTCTGTATCATGGCAGTGGTTACACGGGGGAATTACACGGATCGAACTTGCCAAAGTGCATGCTGAAAATGCGTTTTGCTCTGTGTAAATTACACCTCACTAAAGTTGATCTTCTTTCCATTTTATTTATTTTTTTTTTCAAAGAAACGTGTCCCCAATTCTGAAAAGGCCTGGAAGCCCTGCCCTGGGTGCATTTAAAGGCACGTGAGCAGATCAGAGGGGTCTCTGGGGGGCGTAACCAGAGTTCTTTGTCGTCGCAGGAGGTTCGAGGAGGAGACCAGTGACAACGAGGCTGCTGCGGAGGAGGAAGAGGAGGGAGAGGAGGACGTTTTCGCTGAGAAGCCCTCCCTGGATATGGAGGAGTGCTCAGCATTAAAGGTGGGTGCGCCGGGGAGATGGGAAGGGAAGCAGCCCTCAGTCCTTGAGAAGGCAGTCACCGGAGGTCCATGGTTACATCCTGTCCCCCAGCCTCAGGGGACAGGCCCTCGGAATGGGGCGGCTGCAGCAGGTGCATTGCGTGGTCCCTGCCTGTAATTTGGCTCCTTTCGGTGACAGTGAACCAGGAGAGGCAGACGCGCCCCCTCCTCTCTCCTGCCTTTCCCCCTCCCGTTTCTCCGGACAGACCTTGAGCTTTGCTCTCAGGGCTCCAACGCAGGCTCTGCTACTCCCTAGCTGTGTGGTCTTAGGCAGACGCCTTCATTTCTCCCGAGTCTTTGTTTCATTGTCTCTACCCTGGACACAGGGACACTCACCTTGCAGACCGGTTCTGCGGTTTCGAAGGAATGTATTTCTGCATTTGGTTTGGGCCAAAGTGCAATAGGAGGAGGAGGCTGATGGTCAAGTTCCCATCGGCCCCAGCTTCCCTGCTGCACTAGAATTACGTGTTAGAACCAGATTGACACTCCACAAAGATCTCTGTTCTTTCCACCTCGGGGCTCCTCAAAATAGAGCCACCCCACTGTGCTGGAGTAGGGCACCCGGAGGCCGGAGTTGCAGGTCATGCATTGCACAAGCTGCCTGGACAGGGGTGGGGGCCCGAGAAGAATCCAGGGGCACACCCTCCGACTGCTCCACACCAAGGGGGCAGCGTTCTGCAGTGTCTCCGGCCAAAGGCGGCTCCTTTTGCAGAAGTACACAAAGGTGCTGTTCAGGCTAATGGAGGCCCTGCCTCTAGGTGTCTTTTATTTGCCTGCCTTTTACTGCTAACTACCGTGAAGGAATGATAAAAAAAAACCCCATCACCTGGTTTAGGAAACGAGGTTGGCTGGTTGCCTCCATAGTTCCAAGGAAACACTGGCTGTTCTTGGCTGGGGCAGGGGATGCCTTGGGTGTGACCGTGACACAGTGTGTGTGGCACATAAGTCTTGAGGTGAGAAGTCCAGGCCACCTGTGCTTAAGGTACCTCCGCTCTCGATTGAGCTTGTTTGGGGATTGAATATGCCTCCACTAGCCCCACCCACAGGTGTCGTGGCTGGGCAGGGTTGGGGTGAAGGAAGCTCCCAGCCGTGTCTGTGGGACAAAGGGGAAGTGGCCAGAATGGGGAGCAACCGGGGAACCTTCCCCCTGAGTCTTGGGGTAGGTGGCCGAGACTCGGTGGTCTCAAAGCTGAGGCTTCTTCCTCAGGTGGACAAAGAGACCAACACGGAGACCCCCGCCCCATCCCCCACGGTGGTGCGGCCCAAGGACCGGCGGGTGGGCACGCCGTCCCCGGCGCCGTTTCTCCGGGGAAGCACCATCATCCGCTCCAAGACCTTCTCCCCCGGACCGCAGAGCCAGTACGTGTGCCGGGTAAGCCGATGCGTGGCCCTGCCCCGCTCCCAGGGCACCTGTTCCTGCGGGGGGTGGGCCTTCAGCCTCACAGCTCCAGGGGGGTGCAAATCCTGGCCCCTCTCACGGCGTCAGGCATCCTCGGGCAAACACACACCCCTGAGCCTGTTCCCTCGTGCGGCATGAATAGGCGGACGTCATAGGGCTGTTTTAAGGGCTGAATTAGATAAAGGACAGAAAAGGCCCAGGAACACCAGTGCCTGGCAGTGCTGTTGTAATTCCACCCACATCTCCCCTCCTCCTTGTTCGCAATCAGTTGCGAGTTAGGGATCACTTGTCCTGACATGCACGCACAGTCGGTGCGACGTATTCTCTGAGTGCCACCTTCAGATGGAAGCCACGCAGGATAAAGCCCCCTTCTGGCAGTATATCCAGCCTGTCTGTACTGTGCACTCCAGCCCAGGTGTTCCCTCCCTCTGTCTGTGTCAGTTTCTTCTCTGAGCCCTCCCTGCATCCTGGGGCTGGGAGAGGACGTGGTGTTGGGGTCAGACTGGACCTTGAACTCTTGTTCTGGTGCTCGCCAGCTGTACGAATTGTCAAAGTGTGCCCATCTCTCTGGGCCTCCCTCCTCTCCATTAGGATTGTTTGAGGGTAGAATGAAACTGTCACTAAAGCACATGGCACATAGTAGGTGCTCTGCCCATGTGGCCGTAATTATTATTATTGTTCTGGTTCTGGTTGAGACGCTGCCCCGAGCAGTAGGTGTTTCATCAGTTTCATGCCTCGGGCTGCTGTGTTTGACAAAGCCAAACTAGTAATATCATTATCACTAATAATTATTAATAACCCCAAAAATGATGTAACAGCGTCTCGGGAGAGACCTGCAGCGGTGGGCTGACAGCTGTCAGAAGAAACAGGCTATACAGCATCTGCCTGCGGGGATCCCACCCCCGTGGAAATGTGGCTCGCCCCCACCCGCGTATCCTGGGAGGTGCTGTCATCCCAGCCTCCCCCGAGGGTCCCCCTGTAGGACAGCACCCATCTGACCACAGCCCCGGCCTCTGACCATGGATGGAGAGCGTCAGCCTTCTGGGGAGGCTGCAAACAAGTAAACGACGGAAGGGACCCTGCGGTGGGCAGAGCTGAGATGGCACAGCCCTCACGCGCCTGTCTGGCCCCCTTCCCCAAGGAAACCGTCCCTGAGGTTTTACTTTGGGGCTGCTTTCCTTTTTATGTGTCTGGCAGCCCTGACCGTGGCTCCATCTGAGCCGTCAAGACAGGCTCTGTGTGGGCAACAGGGACGATTCACTGCCAATAGGCCTTGGCTCGGTCAGGGGGGCATTACGTCCTGGAGTCCCACTGTCTGTGTCCGCCCTCCTGTACTGCTACCAACTCGCCGACCTTGGGCAAGTCCCAGGCTTCTCTCCCGTGGGGAGGCGGGGTGCTCCTGCCTGCCCCACATTGTCATTGGAAGGGTTCAGTGAGGTGCCGCACGTACAGCAGGTTGCAGCAGGTTGCAGCAGGTCGCAGCAGGTCGCGGCAGGCAGCATGCTGAGAGCGTGCTTGGTGGACGGTCCCCTGGAAAGGCAGGGGAAACGAAACCCACCTCCTGCAGGGCCTAGGGGGCAGGGACTCGCGGTGTGTGCACAGGACAGAAGAGCTGGGCCGAGTGGGGAGACCACCCTGCCGGCCCCGGCGTGCCTTCTGACGCACTTGGGCCTTCAGTAACTCCCATGGTGTGTCTCCTGCAGCTGAATCGGAGTGACAGTGACAGCTCCACGCTGTCTAAGAAGCCGCCTTTTGTTCGAAACTCCCTGGAGCGCCGCAGCGTCCGGATGAAGCGGGTAAGACGGCCTCCCGCCCCGCCCTCACTCCCCCTCGAGCAGCCCCCTATGTCTGACTGTTCTCCTCAGCCGCTGTTGCGATCGTGCTCGTTTTTTGCACGTGGATGTTTGTGAACTGTAAGGCCTGGGGAAGCGCCTTCCTGCCTAGAAATCCAGCAACCCAAGGTCACCGATGGGAGCCTGCCCCACACGAGTCTCTGCTCGGTGTGTGGTCCAGCGGATTGAGTGGTCAAGGTCCCAACAACCCTCCCTGCTGGCAGAGGAGCTGGGCACCCCAGCACCGACTGGAAGCGGGGAGGCGTGAGTGGGCTTCCCTCAGTCCAGCTGAATGCACGCAGGGAAGGGGCCACCGCTGTCCCTGTAGAGAGATCTTGGCCTTTCCTTACGGGGACTTGGCTGAGGATCGGGGCGGGGTGGCGTTAGGCAAAGGACTGACTCCTAACACAGACTCTCACCAGCCAGGGCTGCAGGAGATGCAGAGGGCCCTGCCCTCTTTGCACTTTTAACACAGACTTTGCAGCGGTTCTGGTGAGTTTGCAGAACTAGGAGAAACCCAGCTTCCACAATATCAGGAAGAGAAGGACAGAGAGCAGAGTGGCAGACATGCAGGGAAAGGAGAACGTGCTGACAGCCCCAGGCAGGGGAAGGCTGCTCCGCATCTCCTGGGGCCAGCGTCTCCTGGGGCCGGCCGCTGGCTGCCAGAATCAGGATGGGTCCTCTGTCAGTCACCACCCCTCCCCCTGCATCTCCAGGAAGAACGAGAGTAAGCAGGAGAAAGCAGTGTAGGCAGAAGAGGGTGCTGGCGGTGGGAGAAGATGCGCATGGTCTCGGGTGACAGGGACAGCCTGCCTCCCACTCTGGGTCCCCCACCCTCCCTGTTTCCTGTGGCTGGCTGGTGCTGCGGGGTCTCCTAGGGGACGGGGGGGGGGGGGCTTGTTGATGATGCAGATCCAAGCCCACATTCCTGGCCCGTGTAATTCAGTGCCTGGAAACTACATTTCCAACAAGCTCATCAAAGGGCTCTGGAGGGAGAAATGCCACTGTGTTCCCCAAAACCCCCTTCCAAGGCGAGCCCCACAGCAGCTCCCCCTTCTTCACCTGCTCTTGCACTTACCCAAGGGGACGACTGAGTAAGGGAGCCCTTGGTGGTGGATCTGAGCCCACGTGTTCCTCAGGTGCTCTGTGCCCAAGGAACAGGAGAATCCAGGGGCTGCGCTGGCACCCTGGTCGCCGCCGTCCTCCTCCTCACTCACGGCCTGAGCTGTGCCCCTGTCTGCATCTAGCAAGGTTCTAAGATTGGACATCGGTCAGAGCAAAGAAAAAGAATCTTCATTTCTTGCTCTGAGAACTTGAGGCACATACAGTAGATCCTCAGCTGGATTTCCCGAACCTGCGCATTTATTAGCCCAGACTGCACGATGCTCACCTTAGACAAGCCTCACAGAACTTCTGCATTGAGCTGTTTTGTATTCCTGAAAGTGTACAAGTGTCAGTGAGGACAGGGCTCGCAGTAACAGTCTATGGGCCATTTCTCAAGTCCCTCTGTTCATCGTCGTCTTTGCTTCCTGTTGCCGCCTAACAGATCACCACAGACGTAACAGCTTAAAACGGGACCTGCTCCCCCAGGTCCCACAGGTGAGGAGTTCAGTGCAGGTTAGCTGCACCCTCTGCTCGGGGTCTCACCAGGCTGAGATCTAGGTGCTAACTGCCTGCCTCCTCATCTGGAATTTTGACCAGGGACAGTTTCACATCCCACCCCCTTTGAGGGTTTGGCGGGATTCGTGTCCTTGCATTTCTTTGCTAGCTGCAGGCCTGGAGCTATTCACAGCTCATAGAGGTCATTCTCAGGTCCCTACCGTGTGGCCCTCTCCAAAACATAACACGGCTTCTCGGAGGCCAGCGGAAGATACCCAGAAAGGGCCAGTTAATCTTTCAATAGTTCACCTGATTAGATCAGGCCCACCCAGGATGATGACCTCAACATCAGCTGATTAGTTACCTCATCGCAGGAGTGATTCCCCGTTATATTCACACGTCTCACCACACTGAGGGGGCTGGCACTGCACTGGGCGTGTATGGGAGGGGCTGGCCATCTTGGGGGCCAGCATGGAATTCAGCTTCCTGCAGTCAATTAGTCTTTTTTTTTTTTTTTATCATTATTGGGTTTTGATAGCAGGAGAGTGAATTGTTATATTACTCAGGGTCTTACGCATGCCGATACCTGAAGAATATAGCTTGAAAACGAAAGGGGGAATTTATTGGCTCGAGTGATGGAAAGTCCGGGTGTAGACCGATCCAGGAGTTGAGTATCGTCAACCTTCAGCCCCCCCCCCTTAATTGCACTGCTCTGTCCAGATAGCTTAATAATAACAGTAATGATAATAATTCTTATTGTTAATTCTTCTTCTTCCTCCTTCTATTCCTCTTTCTTCTCCTCTCCCTCCTCCCCTCCTGCACCTTCTTCTTCTTCTAGCTTAATTCCTAACCAGGGTCACCCATGCAATGTTGAAGGTGACCGTGAGCAGTTTAGATTTATATCCTGCTGGTTTAGGAATCTCCCTGTAAAGACATTGCCTTTTTTCCAGATAGCTCACCAGAGGTACCGAAACTAAGTATCACTGCTGAAGCCATCACTGTGATTCTGATTTGCCAAGTTTAGGTCAAAGTCCTATCTCCGAAGCCCCTCACACACCACATGGGTTGAGCATGGAGGAGGCGGGGATGCCCAAGGGAGGGCAACTAGTTCCCTCTAAGACTGGGGGAGTGGATGCCACACAGGCAGAAACAGTAGATGTCCCTTACGGGAACACCGAGTCCAGAAGACATGGCTTCAGCTCTCAGCGGGGAGCAGGCTTGCACCAAGGAAACAACCGGAGAGCAGGGGAGACCAGAACACGTTGACAGAGAAGGGGGGATGTTGAGGACACTGAGGGCAGGGAGCTGCGCCCCCGGTGGGCAGTGCGTGATGGGGGCCAGAGCCAGCTGCCTGGGGTGGGGTCTCTGCTCTACCACTGGCAGTGTGTGACTTAACCTCTGGGAGCCTCATCTGTGCAGCCATAACAGTCGGGGCATCCTGGGCTTGTGCAAATGAACTGAGGTCGTGGTGTAAACATGCTCATTCAACATGAGCGGCAGCATGGGAGAACCTGAGGCGGCTGTACGGGGAGGGGCACTTTTGAAGGCAAGGGAGCCTGCTAAGGAAGGAAGGAGGGGCGTATCTGAGGATGAGAGGAGGGGGTTACGTGGGCATGCGTGCTGGTCCCCGCCAGGTACTGATCCATCCCTGCCCCCACAGCCTTCTTCCTTCAAATGCCCACGCAACGAGCGCCTGATACGCACCTCGCTGGACCTTGAGTTAGACCTGCAGGCCACCAGGACCTGGCACAGCCAGCTGACTCAGGAGATTTCGGTGCTAAAGGAGCTCAAGCAGCAGCTCGAACAAGCCAAGAGCCACGGGGAAAAGGAGCTGCCGCAGTGGCTGCGCGAGGACGAGCGCTTCCGCCTGCTGCTGAGGATGCTAGAGAAGCAGGTGGGTGCGGCGAACAGGACGGGGTGCTGCGTTCCACCCTTGAACGCCACCTGCTGCTGCAAGGGGACAAGCAAGCAAATCTTTGAATGGGGGTCGTTTAATCCTGAGACACACACACACACACCCCGTGGGTGTCCCTGGGGCCCTTCATTCCCATCAGCAAAAGGACCAAGGAATCCCTTTGCCCAGTAAATGTTACCAACTCTCGACTTGGTGGCCAGGCCCTTTTTGCTGCATTTCCGTGTGGGTATGGGCAAGCCCTTACTAGCCACACATGTATTCACTCGTACAGCCCTTCCTCAAACACTGGTACCTCCTCTGCTGCAGCACCCACTCGAGCAGTAAATCTGGAACAGTGACCCAGCCCAGGGCCTGCCCGTGAAGCCCCATGGAGCAGGCATCGCCAGAGCGGAGAGCCGCACACCATGGCCGGGCTTGGCACTGATGTGCCAGCAACACAAGCCTGCTCGCTCCTCTGCTCTCCTGCACTGCATTCGAGGGGTTTTGGGGGTCACTCAAGGAGGAAGATAGGACTCCAAAATGGCACTAGCACCCAATGAAGCACTGCATTCATGAGTCCTCATGCCAGAGAAGTCCCTCCCAGCACAAGGACCTCCAGAGACAACTTTTCTGGGGCTACACCTAGAAGGCGGGAGGAAAAGGGAACTCCTAGGAGGGCTGGGGAGGGGGCTTATGCATCTAGATGGCGTCACTCAGCAGCACTCTAAGGAGCCTCCGGATCAGAGGGCTCCAAAGCAACCCTGACTGGTGTAGCTCAGTGGGTTGGGCGTCGTCCTGCAAACCTAAAGGCTGCCGGTCAATTCCCTGTGTGGATACATGCCTGGGTTGCGGGCTGGCTCCACCTCCACCTCCGCCTCCACCTCACCCCCCACCATTGGGGGCATGCCAGAGACAACCAATCCATGTTTCACTTCCTCTCTCTCTAAAAATATCGAAAATCTTTTCTTTAGAAAAAAGAACTCCAAGGCATCAGCATTTCAGGGTCCTTGGTAGCCTCAAGGAGTATCTTATCTATAGCTAGCAGATGATGGGTGTAGCTTCCCAGGGTGAGCAAAGCAAGCAGGTTCTAAATAGTTTCAAAACCTGCTTGTTCGAGCTATATATAAAACAGCTGGGTGGGTAAAAATTTGAATTTGGCACCAGTGGGCTTTTGAGCTAACAGGTCACAGACTAGCACAAAAAATTTCAGTAACGCGGGGTCAGAAAACAGAGGCCTCTTCGACTCATTTTTATTATAACACCTGCCACTCCCGGATTGCCAGCCTTGGCAGGGATGACAGACCTCCCCTAGTTCTGTCTGCACCCAGCCAGACAATGCAAAAGAGCGTCGTACAGAGGGTGCCTGCCTGGGTTGTTGGGAGGGCCATTGGCTAACATCCCAGTTCCTGATGCAAGCGGTGATGCCCAGGAGCGGGGAAGCTGCGCTGGCCTTCTTAGGTCAAGACTAGTGTGGGAGCTTCAGAGTGACTTAGGCAATTTGGAAAGTCTAAAAATGTTTCTTTCTCATTTATTACCTATACCCTGTATAAGTTAGAACAGAAGAACAGGAATTTAATAAGAGCACTACAATAGGAAATTACAGGAAAAATGGAAAATTACAGGAAGTTTTAAGGAAGAGAATATATTTCTAACCTCATGATAAAGTTGTCTGTTATATTTACTTCTGAGCTTCCAGGTAGCCAAGGCAAAAAGAGGTAAGAAAGCAAGTGTAATGGGCCCTTACTTCAGGAAATACGAACTGAGGAAATTTGACCTTTCAAATAGTAAATTATAGTACATCCACAGCTACTAGATAATCACCTACTAAAGAGCCACTTAAACAACAGCTTCATTGACCAAAATTCTTTGTGCAGTGTTGTCAGGTGTCTAGTACATGGGTATTTTAGGGCTCTCCGTGGTTTGTTCTCAAGTGTACTTACATAGGTTTGCATGAAGAGGAAGGGGTGTGGCCCTGGCTGGCGTGGCTCAGTGGATTGAGCACTGACCTGCTAATCGAGGGGTTGCTGGTTCGATTCCCAGTCAAGGCACATGCCTGGGTGAGAGGCAGCCATACATCGATTTTTCTCTCCCTTCTTCCTTTCCCGTCTCTCTAAAACTAAATAAATAGAATCTTAAAATTTAAAAAAAAAGGTGTATAATGTACCTAAAGTTGAGCATACTGCACAACTTGGAATTGGATTTCTACCACATCTTTTTTTTTTCTTTCTTTAGAGAGAGGGAAGGGGGCGGGGGGGACATCAATGTGTGGTTGCTGGGGGCCGTGGCCTGCAACCCAGGCATGTGCCCTGACTGGGAATCGAACCTGTGATGCTTTGGTTTGCAGCCTGCGCTCAATCTACTGAGCTACACCAGCCAGGGCGGATTTCTACCACATCTTAGTAGTTTGACGTGAAAGACATTTCTTAATGTGTCCAAGCCTCTGTTTCCTGGGTGGTAAAACAGAGGTAGCTATAAAATTGACCTTCCGAGGTGGCCCTGAGGGAGGATGCAGTGAAGTAGTACACGTTTCGCCAGATGGCCTCATCTCCTGATTGGGGACAGGTCCACGCAGGTGTTCAGTGTCCCGGCTCTGGATACCTGGCCACTGTCCCGGATGGTGGGCCCCCCTTCCCTCATCAGTCTGAATAAAGAGGACCCTACAGCGGAACAGGAAGAGCGAGGGTGCCGGTGGTGGGCCTGCAGACCTGTGGACTACTATAAACTCATCTGTGCTCGAAGGTTCTCCGTGGCTGACCCACTTCTGCAGGCCCAGAGGACTCGCCACCACCTCACAGCTCTGCTTGCCCTTGCCCTTGCCCTGCAGGTGGACCGAGCAGAGCGCCAGGGCGAGCTGCAGACAGACAAGATGATGAGGGCGGCTGCCAAGGACGTGCACAGGCTTCGAGGCCAGAGCTGTAAGGAGCCCCCAGAGGTGCAGTCTTTCAGGTGAGCGAGAGGGTGCCTGGCCGGCCAGCAGGCCAGCCCGCCTTTTCTCCCTTTCACACCCCACCCACCCGGCCTCAGTGCCCTTCTCCGTCCCCCTGCCCCCTGTCCTGTGGTCCCTCGTCTAGCAGAGCACCAGCTCCGTCACAGACGTCCGCCCTCTGCCCAGCCGTGCCTGGTGGTCTGTGCACTCTGCACTGCCTTCCCTCCATGTCCTTCTCAGTCCCCGACGACCTGAGCTCATTGGTTGGCTCCTCTTGTTTAATGAATGGGCCACCTGCTCCTGCCTCCCTCTCAGCGTTTCTGTCGCTGGTAATTGCAGAGAATCGGCCGACTGATAAATCAGCCAGGCGGACAGATGCCTGCCCAGCCTCCTTCCTGGCTCTGCCCGCTGCCTGCCGGGATCTCAGGGAGGCGGACGCTTTCTTGCTGTCTGAGCCCTGGGTGGCTCACGGGAGGGCCTCCCATCCACAGAGGGCCTGGCGTTTCAACTTGCGATGTCCTCTCAGATACAGCTAAAAAGCATTTCAAAGGAACTGCGATTCATAGGACCGTGTTTGGGCACCTCCGCTTTTCGGCCAGTGGGAATCTAAAACAAACGCTGGCAGTGGCTCAGGGGCCCTTCTAATCAAGTCCCTGATTGTTAATTAAAGGTCTCTGGTCCTGCCGGTGCCCCCTGAAGCAGTGTTTCCAAACCAGGGATGATTTGGGCCCCGCCCCCTGGGAGGGATGGGGGCAGAGGCAGGGGTGCTGCTACGGGACGTACAAGGCACGGGACAGCCCGCCTGTGGAGGAGTCTGGGAAGAATGGTTGGAGCTGTAACGGGACGATGGGCTCTCCCGCAGGGAGAAGATGGCGTTTTTCACCCGGCCTCGGCTGAACATCCCAACCCTCTCTGCGGACGACGTCTGATCGCCAGAAAAGTATTTCCTTGGTTTCACTGGCCACGCTGTGAACATAGACTGTGGCTGAAGTTATTTATGTGGTGTTATATGAAGGTACCGAGTCACAAGTCCTCTAGCGCTCCTGTAGGTTTGAAGATGAAGATTTTTTTTTTCTAGTTTGGATTCTATTATTATTCAGAGGGGGAAAAATACAAAAACAAAACCAGCATTAAAATGTCAAGATTGTATAGTTTGTATATTTAGGAATGTATTTTTGAGAAAGAAAATTTAAATGAACTACAGCGGCTTTCAGTTGCTGCTCTTCTTAAAATAAAATTGTTTAGATTTTTTTTTTTTGGTACAGCTCTGCCTTCTAGAGGTTTCACTGCAATAAGTAAGGAGTATTTTGGGGACGGCAATCCTAAAAGGATGTCCTGCAGATAACCACAGCACAGCTGACCTTTCCTACTTAACCTATTTTGTACAATATTTTAAAAATGCACAGCCACTGTCGGGGGGACCCTGGGGGGCCACTGTCTGGGAATCTTCACGAGCTGTGATGTGTGTTTACGTGGCCGCCTCAGGTGGTGCGGGCAGCGGGGAGCTGGCCACAGGCCTGCCCGCGCCGGTCTCAGACGCCCAGTGAAGCCACTGAAGGGAGTGAGGGAGGGCTGCGGAGAACTTTGCGTTTCGTCTCCATCAATAAAGTGGCCTTTCTGAATGAATCTCCTCTATCTCTTCCCCACCCCCCGCCCCTCGTCCGTGTTTCCCTGATGTTTGGTGCATCCCTGCCCAACCGTTCCCTTCATTTCCATCCCCAGCCAGTCCAGACGATGGTGTTTTCTGGGGGTTTTTTTGTTTGTTTGGTTGGGTTTTTTGCCCGCTCCTCCACACCGTTGCTCATTACATAAAAATGACTAGTCCCCCGGGGCTGTTGCAGAGGATTGGAAGTCAGCCTTTCACAAACAGGCAGCCGAGTCTCTGCCTTCTTCCTTCCTCGGACACCCTCCTGTGCAGCTTTCCTCGGGGTACGGGGCCGCACCAGCCACGTCTGAATCATGTGGGCCAGCTAGTTAAAAATACACACTCCGGGGCCCTCGGCCGACCGGATGGACCTGCCTTTACCCATGTGCCCACTGTCAGTCCTTGGCACACTGCAGGGGACACTAGCATCCTCTCTGCCGGCCCCTGGGGACCACTGGGGGAGACGTGATGGAGGGGGCGGAGCTCCCTTCACTTGACTGCAGAGGCTTTCCCCACATCCCCACGCCACACCTTACCTGGCTGCTTCTCGTGCAGAAGGAGCCTGCAGTGGCACAGAGTCCACCGTTATGTCCCATGTGGCTGCCAGGGCTTCCTCCTTCCCCACGTGTCATATCTCTGAGCACCTCAGTGTCCGGTGCACTCCGCTTCGTGGAATTCCACCCCACACGTTCAGGGCTGGCCCTGCAGTTTCTGCAGATGAGGATTCACATCCCCAGTCCATGGCGGTATGTCCAAGAGCACAAGGATGGTGCTCCGCGCCACTCCTGGGGGCCCTCGTGCCTGCACAGCGCCGAGCGGTGAGGCAGCTGCTGCCCTGGCTGGCACTGCCTGGTGGCAGCGATGAAACAAATAACCCAAGCTGGACAGTCAGAGTGACCCAGCCTGTTGTCCACCACGATCCAGACAAAGATACGCACGGAATCCGAGCTGGGCCAGACAGATCCCTTCCCCTGCATGAGCCACCTGAAGGTTAAAAAGTAGATTTTCTCTTCTGAAAGCTGCCTGGAGCCATGGCTCCAGCTTTGGGGACTGTCCTGCAGAGAGCAGTGGGGGAAGGAAGGGCATCCTTGGGGTCTGCGTGGGTTGACACCCAAGGCCAACTGCATCCTCGCCATTTGCAGTCTGGTGAACTGAGTCGGGTGCGCCATAAACCCTGAGGTTCCTGCAGTGGGTTTTATTCACTCGGTCACACCTTTATCTGTGTTCAGCATTCCAAGCAAAGGTCAGCCCCTCACCCCTTGCAGCAGCAGCTTCTGTGAAGCAGAGCTCCAAACGCCCTCCTTGTGCAAATCCTCGTGCCTGAGAAGTGTGTATCACTGCCGCTGGTGTGGGGCAGCTGTGGACCAAACCAAGCGCCTCTTCGGAAGGCAGAAGGCCCTGTGTCTGCCGCGGCATTGAATTCTCCATCAGCAGTCACTGGCCAGCCACCAGGACATCCTGTCATTTGCAGAATAAATAAAGAAACTTCCACTCGTAACTGTGCTCATGTGTTCTCCAGAATCTTCAGGAACCAAGCTTAGAAATAGGACATGCCCTACTCAAGGTCACTCAGATAATAAATGGCCAGAGCCAGCATGCAATCCACTGTTCTAACTCCGGAATTTATCTTTCAGCTCTGGTTTCTGCTCCACAGTGTTGCGGTCATGAGAAGCCCTCACTGAAGGGACTTTGCACGTTGGGTGTTCAGGAATGTGGTCCTGAAATCCTGTGGTTTCTCTACATGTGGTTGTGCAGAAACAGGGTGACTAAAATGCTAGCCTGAGAAGACAGCCAGCAAACCTCACTGGATCTGATCGTCCCTTCCAGAAAACCCGTGGTTGCCTTGCGACTACAAATCTTTCGCCATTGCCATTGGCATCGGAGGTCACCCGCATCCTTGCTCTATGTGTAGTGTGCCTGGTCAACTGAGTCGACGATGCTCGCTGGCAGTCTTGCACTCCCTGCTTCTAAGAAAGCTAATGATTTGTCCAGTTGACTGCTAATCAGACTCCGGCCACACTGACCTTTCTTCTCTTCACTCCCACCACAGAGCCTTTGCACTGCTAGCTCCTTCTGCCTGGTTGGAACCTTCCCCCACTGTGTCTTCACCCCATTTCACGAGACTCTCTCTGTATCACTGTTCAGATCTCAGCTCAAGCCTCACCAGCTTGGAGAGCCCTCTCCACCCCGACCCTGGGCCACCCCATCCAACTTACTGCCCCACAGGTCACACTCTTAGACACAGTCATCTGATGTCTTGGCTTCAAAGCACTGTTCCATTGTCTCTTCCCTCTAGAATGTTTTCTGCTGGGTCAGAGGCAAAATGGGTCCTCAGTATGTGTGAGATGAATGAATGAGAGTGTCCGCCCCAGGGACAAGGTTAGTTTCCTCTCCGCCATTCCTAGTCAGCAGGGAGCTGCTGGGTGGAACAGGAGGAGGACGGGAGGGTTCACTTTTGCTAATCTCGCCACCACTGCTGACCCCCAGTTCCCCTCCTGTTTTCAAATAAACTTAATTCCTGCCTCTGATGATATGTATTTGCTACCTCTGCCTAGAACCCTTTTATTCATTCAATTAAGAAAGTTTTTGAGCTCCCCTCTAGGTGAAGGGCCTTCCAAGCTGGGGTATAAGACTTTGGGGCATAGGAAAGCAGTCAAAGAGATCTGTGGGCCTGGATATGTTCGGAGAATCCATTTCCAGACATGAACTTCTGTAGTCTTTCCTAAAATTGATTTGCCTGCAAATTCAGTTATCCACTTCTCATTTCACATCTCTTCCACAAGGAAAAGCATAGCACCCCTCCCCTGCCCTGGCTGTAAACTAATGAACTGAACAAGATACTCCAAGAATGCATTTCTCAGGAGCTTCACAAAAAGATGACCCTTGGTTCCCACTTAATCTTTAAAGTGGAGATCTGTCTGTCCACCAGTTTGTCCATCCACAAACTCATCTTTCTCCGAATTTAGAAATGAGAAGGTGTCCCAGGAGCAAACTTATTTTGAAAATGAAGTATACACGATTTGGATTATTTGATTTGACATTGTATGGTAGACATTTTCCATAAATTGGATGAACTAAATTTGCAGCTCCACAGCTTTTTTTTTTTTTAAGAAAGATTTTACCTTTGGAGAGAAGGGAAGGGAGGGAGCATGAGAGGGAGAGAAACAGCAATGTGTGAGAGATAACATCCATCAGTTGCTTCTCCTACACCCCCACCTGAAACCTGGTGTGCAACCCTTGCATGTGCCCTGACTGGGAATTGAACCATCGACTCTTTGGTTCACAGGCCCACACTCAATCCACTGAGCCACATCAGACAGGGCAAATGAAAATACCTGAGAGCATTTAGACAAGCAACAACATACCAGAAAATAGCCCATTACCACTCTGTAAAGTTGTGGCAATAGTTTTCAGATGTCAGCTTTAAAAATCTACAGTGGAGTAGGAATTTTAAAAATTCTTTCATGGGGCACAAAAGCAAAACATTTAGAGACTGCTGCTTTAAAGTACAGGGGCTATCGGGAAAAGTGAGCAAAAAATAGAGTTAAGGCCCCAGTCCTCGGAATTTACATCCCAGCTTAGCTATTCAACATTTTAACTCCTAATGCCACACACTCAGGGAGGGCTTCCTTGACTCTGATACTTACTTTTTTGTCTAGTGTATCTCTTCACTCCAGAACGTAGCCTACATGAGAGCCCCGGACCTGGTCTAACTTGTTTCCAGAGCCTGGAATAGTGTCTGGCACTTTGCAGCGCAGAGTAAATGCTTGTTGAATACATACACAGATTTTGTAAGTTACGCGCCCATTTCACAGAGGGGTGAACTGAAGCCTTTGAGAGACGGAGGCAGTAGGCAAAAGACTGTCCAAGTCAGTCCTAGCCCGGAGCAGCTCTGGTCCCATTCCCCTCCGCCCTCCCCCGAAAGCGGAACCCAAGAGCGCCCACACTCATCCAGGCCGTCTCCCCTGTGGGTTCTCCACGCAGTGCACCCTGGATCCCGCCAGGGGGCAGCAGAGGCGGCCGCACCCGCTGAGCCTCCAGACCACGGGAGGCGAGGGCTTCCGCTTCCGGGCAGTGCTGGCCGTTTCCGCTTCCGGCTACTTGTTGCTTGAGCCCCTGACAGGAGGATGGACCCGTTGGTGGCTCAGTGGTCCTCCCGGCTGCTGCAGCAGGTGGGTCCGCTTGAGGCCAGTGGAAGTGCTTGGAGGGGAGGAATCTGGCCCCAGCTTCCGCCAGAGCGGCGGCCATGAGGCGGGGGCCGCCCTGTCCCTCTCCGACGCGGGCGGCGGGGTCCCGAGTCCCGGGCCTGCGCTGCCTCGGAAGTGAACGCCCATCCGGGGATGGGATGGAGAGAACCCATCGTTTCAGGGCCCGGGTGACAGCGAGGTTCTGCGGAGCGGCGGGTCCCGCCCTCTCGGGGCTGGAGCCTAAGGAGCTCTTTACAGCCACTCCTCACTGTCCCTCCTTCCCTGCGCACACGTGGCCTCTTGCGGGGGAAGGCCGGGGACAGGCCAAGTGCGAAGGGGATAAGAGCAGGAACCCTGCGCTCTGATTTGCAGCTCAGCCACCTGTATGTCCATGATACGAAGCAAGTGGGATTTTAGAAAGCCCGCGGAGTGGATTTATCATCAAACAGGAGTTTGCTCTCTGCCTTCACACTCACAGCTTGTGATAGTGGGAGGGCTGAGAGGAAGGGAAGTGCTCTAAAGTAGCCAGGCAGCAGTCAGAGTCAAGTTGGTCGAGTAAATTGGCAAGTTCTTTACTGCTCTAAGCATATGTCCTTTGTCAGTGCCTGGATATAAGCACCTCTCCGCTGGGGTGTGGTAAGAATTACAGATGCAATTTCCGAAGTGTTTAGGGCAGCTAATGTGTATTTATTCGTGGCACCTGTTTTTTGTTTGTTTTGTGGTTGTGGTTAGGTGCTGGTAAACATTCTGAAATTTCAAGTGAAGCCTCTCTCCCTGAGTAATGAATGCGGTTA